CTGCCTGAGTTTTCCTCCCACTTCTAGAACTGTAACTGCTTCTCACTGTCTCCTCTCTACAGGTTTCTTCAGGCTTGTGAGCTACAGTGCCTAGGGTGCTGTTGAGGAATCCCTGAGTTCATTACCCAAAGTGCTCTAATAAGATGAGGTAAAACCTACTTCTTTACCACAAGGCTCAGTGTGAATGTTCACTCTGCAGACACTCAGTTTCTACGTCCAAAGTTCACTTGTGTCATGCTTTCGTTTCTACACAGATCTGATTTAAAAAATATTTTCCAATTTTTGCACTGTAGCCCCAACAGTTCCAAATCCTCCGATTTCAATATGATTTTACATACACCCTAGTGGGTTAGGGCTAAACATTTCATTCCTGAACTTACATGTAGTCTGAAAACCTGCTTCCCTATTCCATTTATAATATCCAAATGTGAAGAAGTGTATTCAGTGAGGAAGTGTCTTCACTTGTTACCCCTTGCCGCTACATGTAGGCTATAGACTGCCCGCTTCATTGAGTCCACAAATCAAATTGCAGTTTGGTGCCTTACCTGTTCATACAAAATATTTGTCTTGTCTCTCTCGTTTGTCAGGACTTTAACATTTGCTTGAATCTAGAGGTACACAAATTGAAAGGAGAGAAAATACCATGACAATAACAAACTCAAGTTTGAAGATTTTTTTTAGATAAGTGAAGCAGTTGAATGCCCAGGGACAGCATACATTTATAAGAGTTGAAGGCTGTATCCTCCTTTGCTCGTGTCCTGGCCTAGATACCCATGTGAAATGTTCAACAAACTGTTGGGAGTTTCTAGCTAAAGCATTACCCACCATTCCAGAACCAAATATTTGGCCTGCATCTTTTTAAATGCTTCGTTAATCTAGCAGTGACATCTACCTCAGCAAGGTGCCTCTCAAACTTGTCCAGGAGTGATTGTAGCTCATCGCGCTCTCTTCTCAATTTGATAATCTCAGTATCCTCGGCTACACTCTGTGTGCATTGAACCAAAGGAGCAGAGGTCAGGTCAGGTCATGTTGGGTCAGGTCAGGCCAGCTTGGGTCAAGTCAGTCTGCACGAACAGGGTAGGTCAACACACCAACATCACTGCGCAGCAAGTGCAAGTACTGCTTTGTCTTTGCTAAGGAATGCAAGGAATTTCTCAGCTCACCAAAAATCCTTTTACTTTGAAAACTGTTCAAATTGAATGCAGCAATACTTTACCCTGTCCCTTGCTGCGGGAGACATGCTGGATTTCTTGGGACTGCTGGACGAGCGGATCACCCTGAGAGTGTCATACTCGCGCTTGTAAAAATCCCTCTCATCTTCCAGCACACGTATGATGGCCTCATAGTGAGAGGCAGACTAGATGAAAACAGGGATAAGTGAATGGATCCTGAGTGTTACACTATAATAATAAAATTCAGGGTATCACTCCCAATAATTTGTTCAATGACTGCCATTACTTTCTGACAACACAGCACACAACAGGTGAGGCATATTGAAATTCCACATTGTGGCAAATAATGATGACAGAACAAGGATTAGGAGAGGCATCGGTTTCAACCAAGGGGTTTCATTCAACAATCAACCAGTTCATTCTATCAAACATCACTCCTTAAAATGCACTTTTCTGTAGATTCAGGGCATTTCAATTCAACTTGTTAGCACAGCCCAATCTTACCTTCTTGTCCATCTTGCTGGGTGTCCTTGACGGACTGGTTCCTCGTCCGGACCTGGTCGGACTCCGGTCTCTGGAAACAGACAGGGATAGGTGCTGCCCCTTCAGCACTTTGTTCAGGACATCCACCTCCCCCTTGTAGTAATTCCGCTCCTCCTCAAGGCTCTTGAGGTAGGTGTCCATCTTGGTGGGGGATTTGGTCTTGGCCTTGCCACCAGCTTTGTTTCTGATCCGTTCAAGTTCTAGAACAAGTTCTCTCTCTGCATCCAAATAGAACCAAGTCAGAATACCAATGACGATCAGATCAGAAGCATTTTGGGACTTTGGAATGTGTGACGGAATAAAGACAAGCTCTGACCGCCCAGGTTTATTGAAAGAGTTAGAGAAATGAAAACAGAGGTGAACCAATATAACAACAAGCCAGTTAGGTGGCAGCTCCTTCAGCTGATTTGAAATCATGGTGTTATGGCAGTATAATTACAGAATTAAGGAGTTAAATAAGTTCTTTTTAGCACGGCTCTAAATTTGCAGACATAGATCAGCTAATAATTAATCATGGTATGGACACATAGTGTACACCAACCATTTGACGTGAGCCTGTTGACTTTGTCACTCAACCACCTCTTGTCATCTTGGACCCTCACTAACAGATCTTGCACTCTTTCAGTTTCCTGTTTCTGAAGTGAAAGCTCCAGATTGACCTGATCAATGTCAGCAACCAGACTCTTATTGTCCTGAAAAGAAAGCATCGGGAAGTCAAATAATCAGTCCAATGTAGTTAAAGACAATTTCATGCAATCAAACAATGCGTTCTATAATAGTGGAGACAGCTTGGTCTCACCCAGATGAGTGTGCAGGCAAATTCAAATCCAATCTCATACAAGTCAAGTCCAAATTCATATATACAAATATTTGGAGTAGGCAATTTTATCAGGCAGAATTTTGTAAGGTGACACATCAAGGTAATGCATCAACATTGTACAATGGCCAGTAATGGCAGTGGTTTGCTTCTAGCAGGGGAGGATTCCTAATTCTGCCTGCCAGATAAGATATTACATCTTTCACTTTCTTGTGCAGCACCTGTTTCAGCTGCTCTAGCTCCCGATCCAGCACCTCCACCTCCCGCGAAGTCTCCTGCAGCTCCACCTTGGCCTCGATCACGTCCTGGTCGGCCGCCCGGATCACGCTGTCCTTGTCGGCCTTCAGCCGGTGGGCCAGCCGGTCCACACTACGCAGCTCCTCGGCCAGCTCCTCGTTCTTCCGGCTGAGCTCCAGGGCTTTCTGGTCGGCGTTGTCGCGGGCGATGGAGGCTTCGCGAAGGCGCCGCTCAGCATCCCGGTTGGCTTGTTGTAGGTAGTCAATCTGTGGAGAGATTGGTCAAACGATTTGCGGCAATACTGCACTGGTTCCATCCCATGATGCTATGGGCTTCTTGCAGTACAGAGTTTGAGACCTGTACAATTTATGTACATTTCCAAGCTTACATGTATATGGTGAAGAGCGAGTTCAAGATTTTTGGATATAAAAATGCGCTTGCTGTTAGGTTATTGCTCACACAGCACTGAGGGTGTACATGTATGTAATTATCCAGAGTTCATGCTCCTGCTGTGAGGGAGGAAAGGAGTGGCGGGTCTTCATGCACAAATGAAAAAAGCAATATACAAAGCATGCTCCAATTCTGACCTAATGCGTGCACGTTTAGAAAAAAATCATCAGTTTGAGAGGCAACTGATTGATAAACAACAAGTGGTTGACACATGGTCATTGTTCAAACCTATCCATGCATGTACACTATTCACACGTAAGAAATGAAATAGCTGACCTTCAACACAATTCCGCTCTCATTGTCAGGAGTATTGTTACTTGAGTGCATTTGCAGCACTTGTGCGTTGTCAAAGGAGTTCATTAACAAGTGCATCGTTTTACAGACTTTATTCACAGTAAAGCAGGCAGACTCACACCAACTTGTGGGAATATAAACATGTTACGTACACATGCATTGCAGTATCATCCAGCACTGATATGGAAGACAGCTACTGTACACAGATTCCTCGACAATGTTCTTCAAACACAAACTTTATTGTACGTGTATTGCAAAGTAACGTCTTTCACAGAGAGAGCAAATAAAATACACTACCACAACAAGTCAACCAGCACCAATTCAGCACATTGCATACCTTTGTGAGGCAATTACATGTGCACTGCCACTGTCCATTCTTTCTTGGCAAGTGGAGGTGTAAATTAATGGGCACGCAGGCACAAATGCAGTCTGACGTATGTGGATTGCGATTACAAGTGCATGTTGGTGACTCCTTGTCCAACAAGTCAGCATGGAAACAATGCCACAATTGGAAAGTATGAAAGTTCTTTCTGAGGTTCTATTTTGAAGATAAGTGGTTGAAGCAGACGACTGACGGAAAAATAATTTCATCTAGTTGATTTCTTCTCTATGAAATGTATCATCACATACATGTACATGTGCGTATCAGGAATGCATCTCGGGGTGACACTAAACTTGAGGGTATTTTTGTTCATTACAGGTGGATAATCCAAATTTTGTCGGTTCAATTCAACTTGTAACAGAGGGGACCTTTACACGCAGGCCTCCCATCCTTTTGGGGATATTGCGCAGGCGATGCCAGGTTGGTCTTGACACTGAAACCTCCCCAATTTCTAGTTGCCTAATTTAAGTTCTAAAAGCATTTTTCCATAAAACTGTTCAAATTTAAACAGACAGTATAAAGCAGTACCCGTCATCGTGTTGAACCATTTCTTACGAGGTTGTGCAAATTAAAGTGCAAAATCATCACCAACCTGTACATTCAGATGAGATATAAGCCTTTCATTGCTCCTGTTCTTTGCCTCTGTGGACACAACGTCAAAAGGGCGGCCTCCTTCCAGCTGCCGTGACAGACGGTTCATCTCGTTGTCCCGTGTTTCAACCTGGGGATCCAATGAAAGAGACAAGAATGGGCTGACCTCTTTGTGCATGAGCACTCCCAACTGGCAGCAGGAGAAGCTGACGGGTAACTGTTTCAATTGAGCACACGTGCGATAGTTGTACTTTCAAGATAGAATTGGTGTTGAGTGTTTTACTCCTTGGACTCCATAGGTAAGAAGTGCTGTTGACTTTTTTGCACACTGCCCGTGCATTCGGCCAAATGACTAGAGACGAATGTGATGGAGTTGATGGAAGAACTTTGCTGAATTTAGGAAAGACTTGTAGAGAAAATACAGGTAACCAACTAAATGACACTTGATATTTTCTGCATGTGGCTAGTTCCCCGCTCATTTTTACTAAGCGTATGGATTTGTCGAGTAATTATTTTCTTCTTAGTCACTCAGTGATTGGAAAGATGGAAACTGATGGAATCATTTACAATGGCACACGTGTTCATGTTACGTACATGTACAATTACCCATTTTTCTTGAACAGCAAACAATATTTTACACTGGGTTTTGGTTGACAATGTCCTTAACTTCACCTATTCTTTTTGTCACTGATAAACCTGAGCCCACAGTGCTCCTAAACTTGGTTTCCAGAGAGGGAAATCCCTTGTGGGGACAGGGTTTAGTCCACACAAGGTTCACACAACCTGCATTATGTGGACCTTTTAGTTCTCAGGTCCACACAAAGATGACAAGATTGGCACTTGCTTTCACACAGTTTCATTTAGCACCATTTTCTCCAACATTTGACACTGTCTAAATACACTTCAGAGTAAGCAATGAAAATCTGGCGCAGGTACAAGCATTATCAGGGTTGGAGTGTTAATTCCATTGCACACAATGTACATTTATCGTCCAAAGTGAACACAAAAACAATTTATTCCCAGTAATGGCTCAAGAAGTTGACAGGTCAGTACATTTCCAGGTCTCCCAGAGCACTTCACTGTTGGCAAAGGTGTAATTAAGCTCTCCTTGAGTAGCACCTGACCATTCTCAATGCTCTGATGCAACTCGTGTGGTATCTCCAAATACATGTACAATAGTCATTTCCCTGGGGTTATTGTGAAATCTTGTGTGGGTTTGGGTCTATCTTTTAAGTTGATAACTGACCCAACAAGAGAAACGTTGAATACATGTACATTTATTCCTCAGAGGATTCTTGACGCTTTTACAATAAACTTATAGAACTGTTATTTCTAATTCAAAATGTAGCAACTTCAAAATGTAGCCTGATCATCTGGCCAGTGATTAGAATAAGCACAAAACACTAGTTACTGGTAATTCTGATCTAAAAAGAACAATGGCCCAACCAATATTTAATCCCACGAGATTCTGTGAAATTACAAACAGCTCCATGGAGGGTTTCATTCCCTACCGGTACTTGATTCCTTGGGTTTTTCTTAGATAAAGTTATCTGGGCTTTTCTTCCCACCTCTTAAACTTGAACATTTCTTCATTGTCTCCTTCACTGTGACTTTTTTGTGAAGGCCCTAAGCAATCGGAGGTATCAGTTACACTCATTAACATGGTACAATGTAAGAGAGAATAAGATGAAAGTGGACTAAAAAAAGGCTTAGAGGTAGGGTGACTGAAATGAAACCACAAAATAGCCATCGTTTAAATCAATTTTACACAGTGAGCGCATTAAATTCCACCACAAATAAAATGCACGTGTCTGGCATTTCACCAGCATGCAATCCTCCGCGACATTAGAAACAAATGCCACACACATACATGTATTGACAAAAAAGCAATTCAATGAGGTAATTTTATGAGGCATTGTGAAACCGTGCGCGATTTATTCCTCCATGGTGAAATAAAATTACAAAATAAATTCTATAGTCTACATGCACAGCAGATGACAATAAAGGGGTACCATCAGAAATAAATAACACCTGTCACCTGCTAGAGAGGCCGATTGCAATGTAGGATGTACGACTCCATTACGCAGATTGGAGAGATAATTGATACTATAATGAGTCGAGTTCCTTTCCAATAATTGCCATACCCAAGGGCCTATTCAAAGCAACTTACCTTTCTTCTGCTTTTAGGCTTAGTCTTGCGCTTAGAGCTATCAGCCATTTTTTCCCAGGTTGAAACCAGTCACTACGAACTTCCTAAATAATCTTCATTAATGTAGACAAGCCTGACATTTTACATTCAAACTTGCACAGTCTCCAGCATAGCAGTGTGCTGAAGGAATTAGATCCTGGTTTTTAAACCTAACGGCAGTTGAACAGCTGTGTGCATGCAGCAGTGTGTGAGTGTGTAGTGGGATGGGCACCCACGCTTATCAATGGAGTGTTGACCCCCACATGCTAATGAGGTTATGCCCAACAATCACCACTGAAATCCCTGGTGTATGCCACTTCTCTCCACTTTATCAATGATCCAGGTCTCGTCCCCTTTCATTCAACAACTCAGCTTGTCAATAACTTCCCTTGTCCAATCACAGTGACTACTTTTGAATACTTATTTACATATGGATTGGCCTGATCAAAGGTCAGTCCAGGAGAGGGGTTGTAAAGAGTGGCGTGCTTGGTAACAGTTGTGAGGGACAATGGGAGATTCCATTATTCACAGAGGGGGTTTTCAAGTCTACGCAATCTGAGTGGTATGTTTTGCACACAAACTTACCTACATGTACATGTAGTTATTTCCACAGTTTGTATAATTTCTCGTTTGTTGCCTGATTGTTTTGATGCATTTCAGATGAAATCAACTGCCATTGGTAATGTGAGAAAAGAATCCAGCAAAAAGTCTCCCAAGACAACTGGGAATTATTTGCAACCAGTTATTGGCCGGAAGGAAACTGGTTGTATGTGTCATACCATGTGTTCCTGGCTGTATGGTCATACATGTACAGGTACACCTCAATTTGTGCAACAAGCTCTGTGGTACACTATGCAGAATATTGCCAGTGAATGAAATCCTCTGGTCTACATCTACACCTGAGTCTAATATAAATTTGCATTGCATGTTCATGTACCTGAAGGTCTTTCTCTAATGAAATTTTGTGGTGACTAGGCAACAGGTTATAAATGTAGAACTACACAAGCCCAGGCTGCAATATACAGGAAATTTTTGAAGGCACTCCTACTAATGTACATGTAGCCAATTATTTTCTTTTGGATTAAATGACCACTTTATGACCTCTTTAGTATTATAGCCTCTCGTTTTCTGATAGTGTAATGTGCAGCGATAATAGTACCTTGATCACATTCATGGTGGACGTTTGGCACTTTTAAAAATACAAGTATGGCCATTATTATTATTATTATCAAAGAATCAAATAGGAAAATGTGAAAATTTGTAGATGGTATTATTTCATTATTTATGTTTGATCATATAATGGAGCTACATGTACTCTGCATAGCCCCATGATTATTCCTGTACATCGTGTATGTGCCGGCTCAAAGTAGAGAGTTATCCATAAGAAAACTGTAATGATGTAAAACCAAAATTGACAGTTATGCATTATATACACTTACGGGCCCACATATCATATCCACATTTGCAGTCAAAGCTTAAAATTCAATAAACTCTAAGAATATGTGATGTTCAATAATTTGAAATATATACAACTTTGTGTGTGGAAACTACACACGAACTTAGTTCAGCTCTTATCAAATTGGACTAGTCCAGTGGACCTCTTGAGACCAGTCACTGGTCTTTTGCTCTACTGATCAAATTGTACAGCAGGCTACCAGGACCATACTTCTACATACATTCCCTACAGAGACACCTGAAGTTGGTTCAAGGACGTTTGCATTTCAAAGGGTAGCCGCAATGAAGTTTTCAATTTTTCTGCATCTCTGTACTCTTCTTCAATGTATGAACACTCTTTTACACTCTCATATGCACAGAAAGGTGCACTTTACTACAACTCTTAAAATTGTCCATGCTTTCTTGGACAACTGAGGGTACTGTTGCTGTGATGTCATCCAGGGAAGGCATAGTTCATTGCATGGGTAACTATTAAAATTGTGAACCCAGAATTTACTTAACCCCAACAGTCCTCAGTCCTCCAACAGGTGAAGGACTGAGGACTGTTAGGGTTAATGAAAATATTTCTGAGAAAAGCACTGGTGCCCACTTATTGCTATGCACATAAACAACAACCACTTAAAAAAGACGAGAAAATTTAGCCCAGCAAAACCTACAAAATGCATGACTTTGGAAATACTCACTGGCATAAATATTAAAAAGACAGCAAAATACCCTTTGAAATAGTTAAACAAAAGTTAACAATGAGATTAACTGAGACAAAAAGGTGCAATTTGAAGGATTGTGTTAAAACAAACTCATTGCAGCTACCCTATAAATGTTAACATGCAGACACAATTAACTACTGGTACATTCAGGACCAGCTACTAGGCAACCAGTGGTCCTTGACTGAACTCGCTCAAGATTTTGCCAATCCCAATGTCCAAGGGTTAACTGAAACAGTATTCAAAAACTAAACTTCAAGCCCCTAAAAAGAAGAGACTGGCATACTTGTAGTTTGCAATTGCTTTATATTCTGTGTTGTTTTGTCACAAATGACATACATTTATACATTTTACATTGAAAAACGTCTACGGAATTTTCAACATCACACAGTATTTGGGTTGTACCAAGAAATAAGCAATAGATAATGCAAACTTCATACAGTCAAAACTTTTAATTTATGCGTTATGCAGTAAACGAAAACATACTACAGTGTTTCAGTAGCCAGTCATCACTGTTAGCAAATTGTATTTACAATATTACAGTCTTTACCATCCTGAGCGAGTGGGGAGAAAATGTGTATGTTTAGAAACTTCATATCATAAATACCAAGGCTGCAAAGATGTGCATTCAGCTAAAAGTTTTGGCAATTATTCCAAATTTGCCAGATGGAACTCTGACACAAAATAGTTTGCTCCAGAGCTCTGCAACAGAAAGTGGATCACAAAAATTGCTGACTCAGCATGACTTAGCATGTCTTAAGGATTTAAAGATGTCAAGTAACCACTCACTCTAGCTGGAATTCCATCCTTGAAATTGAAACTTGCAACACTTGGTGAGTAACATGAAAACTTGATATTACTCAGTGAGAAGCCATGTGTGACTCACCTGCTTAGTCAGCCTCCTGATTGTCTTCTCGTTCCTCTCCTCTTTTTCCCTCAGCCTCTCCACCTCCTGCTGTAGAGTCTCCGCCCTGTTATCTGCAATCTTGACCAGGTCAGCTATATAAGGGTCAGCCGGGCTGAAGCCAGCAACCTGCCTCTCGGCCTGAAGAGATGGACGGGGACCATCTTCAGGCACGGTGCTGTCAATGTCCATTCTCTGACGGCGGAAGGGGATGTGCCGCTTGCGGCCACCTGCACCGAGTATGTACATGAGCAATTTGCAGGATTTAACATTTCACTTCTAAAGCTAAAGAATATGCATTGCCATCGTCAAATGGAGAAAGCAATGAGTCACAACACATGTTCCTTCACAGAAAAACCTTCAGTGCCAAAGCATTTTTGGTTTGTGACTTTCCGAAATTCCTTTCTCTAGGGAAGAGCACTGTGCAGTAATATAATGCCATATTCTTTGCGCTTGTAACTGTAGTATCAAGCTCCTTACTGTCTGACAGAAGCTGATCTTTAGAGTCTAACCTTTTCAAAGTGTTGACTGTTGACAGTGATGGATTAAAGACACAATTACATGTACATTTATGCAGGTTTGATAAGTATATGTACCTTTAACCACATCATTTGAATGTCAAAGATGTCTCAAATTGTGTGGTGTTACATAAGTTTCTTTTGTTCCCGAAACTGGCACAGTGCGCTTCTGACGTCTTTTCAATACGGGCCAGATTAGCGTGCAGCGGTATTGTATCACTCATCTCTGGAGTGCTGGTGCACTTTTGTCCCCGTTGGTAGTCCGCTCGTGCTGAATGCCACAAACAGTCTTTCAAAATAATGACGGATTTCCTTCGCTATTGACAACTGAAAAAATGTTGGCAATTCCCAGCAGCTCTGTCTTTTGTTCCAAGTACAGTTTTTTGTTACAAGGCCCAAGCTCTTTTGTCCGATTTCAGGCATCCCGGCTATGCATACAAACCCAAGGTACCCGAAAACAGGCTCCCCAGCGGGATATGATTAAAAAGGGAATTTAGTCACGAAAAATTGCTTTTGTTTTCTTTTTTATTTCACTGCATTATGCCTACAAATAATTGAACTGAAAGATAAATATTAGACTACTCAATAATAGATTGAATATTTGTACATACAGCACAGGTCTACAAGTCCAACCTACCTGGTGTCTGCACCACTGCCTGGAAGTTCTTCTCCTGCAGCTGGCTGATGCGGTCTCCCTTCGCCTTGGCCTCCTTCTCCAGCGCCCGCACCTTGTGCACAAACTGGGAGTTGAGGAAGCGTAGGTCGGCATTCTCATGCTCCAGCTTGCGCACGGCTGCCTTGAGGTCCTTGATGGTGGCCTCGCTCTCCTCCTTGAGCTTGATGAGCTGCAGGTGGAGATCGTTGTTCTCCCGCACCAGCTTGGCGTTGTCACTGCGGTACGCCTCGTCCGTGCAGACTGGAGTTTTCTCATCAGTGGCACGGCTGGCCTTCAGTGACAGGAAAGATGGTGATTTGCAGATAAAAGTCTGTGGTCAGTTTCTGTACTGTTTCATTTTTAAAGCATCTTAAGCAAAATTTTAATCAAAACTGAAAAAGAATCAGTGATAAAATAGTCCCAAAACGGGCAGATCCAGGTCTTCTGAAATTTGGGGGGGGGTTGTCCAGGGTTAGAATTCAAGTTTTTCAGGGTTGCATAAAGCTGTTGAAGTCAACAGCAAAGAACAGATGTCTCAACGGCAATAAACCAGGATGTATGTTGCAACTTTTGGAAGAGAAATTTGGGATTGGTATCAGTGGCAATGGAAAAGATTACTCATCCCAATTATCACCCCCCAAAAAATTCCCAGGTTGCAAAAGCACCATTTCAAATATTCTCAAATAGGAGATGAATGTTTCAGTATGAAAGACAATTTCATTCTATAAGTTTCAACGTGAAGAAGATTTTAGCATATTGCTACAAAATGATGATTAAAGTAAAGAGGAAAAGTTATCTGAAGCTATGCAATGTTCAGTTTTCATATTGTGCTTACACTACACCTGCACCAGTAAGAGATCACACAGAAACCTACATGTATACAGTTTTCAGAAAGCCAGTTATTACATGGAATGAAAAAAGTATTCAAGTTGTGGATGGGATAACGTCACACCCATGCACCCAGTGCCACTGGGATCTGTATTTCTGATTATTTGGGATTTCTCAGACCGAGATACTGTTTTGCAAGTCAGTTTCCAGTCTGGCTCCCTCTTCTTACCTGCAGTTTGGCATTCTTCAAGCTGCTGGTTGTATGCACCAAATCATTGAAGAGTTTCTCCACGAGGGGGAGAGATTCGATTCCTAAGGCTTGACGGTAGCCCAGCTGGTCCAGACGCTTACGCAGAGCAGTGAACCTCTGCTCCGCTAGTGTGGCCATTGTTGAACTGTAAACTTTGAACCTGCTTGACCTGATAGGGCAATGGTTAAAAATTTGAGTCTCGAGAGTGAAAGACGCAGTAACACTGTACATGTAGTTATGGTAAACATAATGCGACTTCCAAATTTCCATAGTTTTAATTGTGAAGTGTCCTTTCCCAAATCAGCACTGCACAATCGTCACGGTCAATCTAGGTTTCAATTTCCACTTACCATCATGAAATAGGGATAGCTCAGTGGGTACACACATACAATAACATACTTGTACATGTAGGCCCATTTTTTTTCATTTGGTAGATTCATACCCCTGGAGGATTTTCTTTAAAGGGTAATAAAGGCTGAGATCCTTTCGTTGTAGACTGGTCTGGTTTCTGTTTTTAATACACCAGAGTGGTGCGACAAAAGTAGACAGTAACCTGTCTAAACTTCCAAAACTATAGCCACTGTGAAAACCAACAGGACTGGTGGACTCTGGACCATGAATCAGTTCCATCTTTTCTTTTTTGTTTTGTTACTGGCTTGGCAACTGAACATGCGCATTGATTTTTTTAAAAACTTACACGGTAAATCTTAGTTTCATGCCATGGCTCACAACACACAACATGCTCACAACAGATTTCTGTCTACTTTTTTGTACCAGTCGGATGACTTTAACTGCCTGAAAACATTATCCAGGCGTATGAATTGACCAAAACAGAAAACATAGAAAGTAAACATGCAATCTGATTGAGAAAATAAAGACAATATGGAGAGAAAAATGGAAAAAATCCCATATCGAAACCTTATATAGATTGGCAATTAAAAATTGTGCGATGCCATAACTATACATGTAGATACATGTAGTTTACATGTATTTGGAAGCAATATTAGGCCTACTTGCCTTTAACTACATGTATAACCACTTCATTTAAAAATATTCCAGGACTGGACCAGAGCATCAAATCAGAAAAAGAAAATTTAAATTATGTGCAATTAGCAGTACAATAAATCATGTAAATGGTTTGAAAAAAAAAGAGGATATTATGGAGACAGGTTTTTCTTGCCACTTATCTGGCACCATTTGTGCATGGGACGCGATTAGTCATGCACGCTATAGGATGGATTACTCTGTTATTGTGGTAGTTATCACATTTCCCAATCGAAATAAAGATTGCTCGCTCACCTTCCTGAATTATCCTATCCTTGCTGTTGTTTAACTCTTACTTTTTAACCTGAATCATACAATTTTGTTTGTGGTTCAATTTATTTTCCTCTACGACAGCTCAGAAAATCTACAAGTGCACCGCATGTGAGCGGAAGTGGAGTCGCTATTATCGCAGTATTGGGAAATGGAGTCTACGATGGCCTTTACAGCGTTTTGTTTAAATGTACATGTATAAATAAGGATAACAGAACGATTTTGTTTTCAGGGTAAACAAAATACATACATGTACATGTACCTTCATTTTGTAATATTAATGTTCCATTTTTACCAGTAATTGGCTCCATTTTTTCCAGTCTTCCCCTTAAAGATGCCCCTTTAGACACCTTTGACCAGTTTGGAATTGACATATGAGAACCTAGCTATGGATATCCAAGGGCAGGGCGACGTTAGAAATAACTGTTAACAGTAGAGGTGCAGATCACAACTCAGGGACTGTCCCTGGATTTGGAGAATTCCCTTTATTTGGGGACAATACCAGTCCCCCCAAATGAGAGAATGTCCCTTTAAAAGGGAACATTTTTGCCCAAGTGGCCTTGGGTCAAAATATCCACGCACTATTATCATTTTTGTTTTTCTCCCACATTTTCCATTCATTTAAGATGTTTAAAATGTTTTTTATGAACTTTGTGCAATGCCACTCGATGAAGTATACATGTACATGTATATGTAAAGGAATGATTTTGAAAAAATTGTTCGGATACAGTCTTTTCCCCACCCTTTATGCTAAATTGCATACTCTTGCTCATAATCTTGGAAGTAAACGGTATGATTTTTTTTTAAACGGCAACCTTGGGTGTTTTTTCTGCTGAATCTAATTATGGCAACAAAAGAACCCCCAGGGCAATAGTAGGATCTCCAAACCCACTTAAAAAAAATTGTCCCCACTAAGGGGGACATTCCCTGTTTTCAGGTTTAGGGGGACTTTTGTTCCCTAGGACCTAATAAAGGGACTGCTCCACATTAAGGGACAGTCTCAGAGCTGTGATCTGTTCCTCCAGGCTCTACTGGTTAAAGAGACAGACGGTAGGTAATGACAAACAAGATGAAGGAAAATTTACGAATTTCAGAAAAGTTATAGGTATCTTCAGAGTTTTATTAAACACTATCAAACCTTACAGAACCTTGCGAAATTTTTACTCTTCTATTGTTTTCATGAGACTAATCCTCAGGATATATGTACAACCTATTGCCATACCTGGGTGAATATTGCTGATTGGGAACTTGCTGAAAACGCAAATTTCAAATTTTCCAATACCACGATAATACAATTACCGCAATAATATAGGAACCGAGTAATAACAGTTATACAGCATTCACATGCAGGGGGATTAGTTCATGCATGACACTGACAAGCATGACCACTGTCACTACTGATGACGGCCAAACGGTTTTCAAAAGGACCGCCAAATATGATAGATCACGTTGAGGAACAACTGCTCTGCTGATGGTTGTAAAAACTAACGTCAAATAAGTATACAGATCAAACAATCTTACCTGGTGTATATGAGTGAGATGTCACGAACTGTTTGGCAATAAAATTGTCAATAATATTGAGAATCCGATGCACGAACGAAGATAAATTCGCTACTCCGATCCGCGCGCCGCACGCTCATGAATAGCGCCCTCCATTGGCGATTCACATACGTGAGATTGTGCAACAAAGCTCCGAGCAAGCGCGCGCAGCCGTGACACTCCATGATATCCATGCGATGAGCACTCAGAAAGGAGGCCGACCGAAGTGAGTTAACGTTTCATTTCATTTCTAATTTGTGCAGAAAAACAGAAATTACAAGTCAACGGTGCTTTGCTGCTTTGTTCCTGTGTCAAATTTTGAGCACGAATGCGGAATGACCGCATCAGCTGTCCTCGGGGTTGGTCCATCATGTCCATTGGCAGTACTCTCATCACTTTCACTTTGGGCTAATTTTTTTCGCAATTACTGCATGGGTGATTTTACACAATGCTACAAAGGCATTGTGGGAAGGAAAAAGGAGCAAAAATTGCCCCTTTTTGCATCCCACAATAACTTTCTACCTTTGTGTTTCCCCACTGTGCCTTATTTGTTTGTGAGTCCCACTTTTGCCCAACCTGGTAACTGTTATCATTTTAGGAGAGCCTCTACACAGCGATTAAGTTCGCTTTTTCGGCAATCCCTCAGGGGTGTTATCAGTTTTTTAGATCTGTTTTTGGTGTTATTCTTAATTTGTGTTTGAGTATATTTATGTGTTGTTCCCTGAGAAATAAGAAATAATAAATCCGCAGCCTGGCCCTAGCCAGTTCAGGCGGCCGTGGTCATTCATAATAATTGTCGGTAATGCACACAGTACATCCATATAATGTACTGTAGCTACAATCCTGGACAAATCTCATTGGAACATGCCTCCCCCTCACCCCTGCTGTCAATGTTGTTTCTCATTGGGTAAGCTGGGCTTAATCTTGGTCTAATAAATCATGACCGCGACATTGAATGGGGGAGAGGGGATCTTTTCACTCTGCTTCCCATCCCACAAGCATTGACAAGGTGTTCCAACTATTTTGTCCAGGATTGTAGTTACGCTGATACTGTGGTAGTACTAGTAGAAGTGTTAAAAGAGGTGATTTGTAGAATCCTAGTCTCTCAGACCAGATGTAAACTTGATATTGCATAGCCTTTAAGCAATGTTGTAATTATCGCAGTATCAGTCATGTCAGTTCATGATTTCTTACAAAATGTGTGATTTAAGATCTGAGGGAAAGGCCTACAAACTGTCTTCTCTTTTTTGTTCTCTTCCTTTGGATCACCTTTTTTTGAACTGTTAAAACAGGTGACGGTCTGAACTTCTTTTAAATTTGTATCTGAAAACACTGTTAATAGAGGTTATGCATATACCTGATGCCTTGGAGGCTCTTCTTTCTAGTTTTAAGTTAGTTATATTGACTGCACAAAAGGCGTACACAAGCCTGTCCTAGCAACACAAAGTGCATGTACTCCATCTCCGCCTCAGTGCTTCAACCTCTACATGTACATGTATGAACCTTTTTGTTCATGTAGATCGATGCATGAAGATAAAAGTAACTGCAGAAGTGAAAAAGTATTCCATTCATTTACAAAGTTTTCAATCTTTTCTTTTCCATGCATGGATGATGTGAGAAAAGACAGTGGTGTGGTAAATACCTGGTATTTATGAAAGGGGGTGCTCTAACCTGAACGTACAGAAATGATTAAATTGAACCATTTCAGAGCACAAAGAAAACAGGGATGAAAGGGAAAGGCGTGAATGTAAAAAAAGGGGGGAAGGGAACTTGCAGGAGGTAACCCCTTCCCCCATCTACTTACTGAAAAGGGAACTTGCAGGAGGTAACCCCTCCCCCCATCTACTTACTGAAAAGGGAACTTGCAGGAGGTAACCCCTCCCCCCATCTACTTACTGAAAAGGGAACTTGCAGGAGGTAACCCCTCCCCCCATCTACTTACTGAAAAATTTGTATGTATCTACTGCCAGTACAGGTACATGTATGCTCTGTATCCATTTCATTACAAACTGCATGTTACTCCAGCAAAGTTAACCCTAATAGTCCTCAGTCCTCCAACAGGTGAAGGATTGAGAAGTGTTAGGGTTAAATATTTAATTGCTAGCTTACCGGTATCATTTTTGAACTTCTTAAACAACTTAGTAAAATACTTTTTCAACCCTTCCCTCTGTTGTTTTTTTGGAGCCATCGCACAGTACCCTACTTTAATGCAGTTTGAGGAACCAGTTGGACACTTTATCAGCAATATGTTCATTGTGATTCAGTCAACTGATAACATACTGTATACATGTACTGGTATGTGTACACATACAGTAGGCATGGAATGACCAATCACCCAAAATGCAGTACGTACTTAATATCAAATTCATGAATTTAGCAAATTGAATTGAAACATCAAGGTAACCACATAAAATATGAACAAGGTGTGGTACATCTACATGTATATCCCTAATTTATGCATATACATGTAGATCTTAACAGTCAAGATAAATTAAAAATTTGCATTAAATACCAATGCCTTTGTAATTTGTTTTTCAGAAATAAGCCACTTTGTACAAGTCTTACCACATACGTGTACAGTGTACATGTAATAAGATTTGATATACGTGTACAATGTACATGTACCATGTGGGCCCACATGTAGGTGTAGGGGAACCAGTAGTAGTACCTATGGTACACAATACATGTACATATGCTACAGAAACGGTGAGTAGCACTGGTGACAGAAGCTGTGGGGCCAGGGGGACCACTCCTCCACATTTTTGACAGGGGGAGGGAGGGAAAAATCCCCTTTTTTGCAGGTCCTATAATGGGGTGAGGCTTATAATGGGTCGGCTTATTCATGGCAGATATGTGACGGTTGTACAACTAGTCGCCCACTTTGAAAATTGTTCCGCCGCTGTTAGTTGGCATGTTCAGGTGGAGTGTAGTGCACATGTACATATGCATGTACACATGTATGAAGTATAAAGTACGGCACTGCCACATTCACGTGCATACATGTACATACTACATGTCCTGCTGTGAAACTTGGCAACGATACTATTAGAGATGCGTCCATTAGGGCAGTAGGTTTCACTGTGCCCCCTACCTCTTATGATTTTGTACCTTCTCACAGAGTGTTAATTGATACCATTCACTGACATAAGAAATTTGAAGAGCAATGACCTGTCCATTGACCGGTTAGACAGCCAAGAATTGTTTGTAAAAATTATTTGACATTAATCCGTTTCATTTTGCGTCACTTGTTTGAGATTTGACATCAACTACATGTACATGTACAGGACCTGGATGTATAGCTGAAACTTTCTCTCGCTTTGAAATAATCAAATTTCAGCCCTTAACCAGGAAGCTGAAATTCCCCAACATGTGCCCACTGGTTCAACCATTGGCCTTACTGAACTGGGAGCACATTACCTCAATTGAAGGTCTGATTACTGTGGAAATACTTCAATGCAATGTCAAGTTTAGAAAGGTACAACACTATCTCCTTATACTTACAGTGTATGTGTAGCAAAGTCATGAATTCATTCAATTAGACCCTCGATCTAATGTAACAATAAAACAAAAACAGTTGAATGACATACAAAAGCAGGACTTGGGGCTTCAAACCATACATGTTCAAACCGAGTCAGGTTATTTGGGCAATTGTGTAAATTGGCCCAGATTGACCCTACTGTCATATATTGATAGTACATGTACATGTACCACTTTGTATGAAAACACTGTAAAGAATCCTTGATTAAACACATCAAAATATAAAGTCCAAAATTTCTGCTTCAGCCTAGTTTCCCAGAATCAGACAAATTTGAGTGTTTCAGCTCTGTATCTCAGTTATGATTATCAACCTCCATATCTTTTACTCTAGTATTTTTTAGAAGGAGGGATCGGCGCTTGAGTTCCGCTACATATAGGAGCTGAGCTTTGTGAATTATTCATGAGGCACTGCCAGTCACGTTTCCTTGTCTTTTCTCTTGGACCAGAATACCGGCCTGAGGATGAGTCAAGCGGTGATTTGCATCTCATTAGTGGTTGCCCGACACTCGGCCCGCATGCAGCCATGAAGCTAGATGTGCAGGTCAACCGTGCCCTGCTACCGTTTAAAGCAGTGTATTTCTTCTTTTTGGCAGGTTGGTCTTTACTCCTTTCACCTTAATGCTTTGTTCACTGAGAAATGCAGTCTGATGTTCACAGTATTAAAATTCTCTCCGATTTTGTGACCCACTGTTACCTGTGAATAATGTGTCACAGGTCACCAGAGCCGCATTGGAGTTTTAGTTTGTTTGAAGAACAGATTGAGCTCTTTGAAATACCCACGACTGATGAGAAGGTTCCTTGTTGGTTTACATTGTGCAGGACTTTTAAAAAATTTCTCTGGTGACTTGTGGCTACCTGTATTTCTACAAAGGGGGTCAAGTTTGTTTGGGGATCCACTTACTCATTGATCTTTTTGTTGACAAAGTGTGTGTTCCTGGTTTGTTTATCAGTCAACTGTTTGATGGCTTGTTGCTCCAAGTGATAACCAATCTACATATTTACAGATCATTGATGTTTTTTATGAATCTGTAATTGCTCAGTACTGTTGATGGTTGACAGATTGATAGATTATCTGCTGTTTGGGGGGGTGATTGTTTACAGACCATTGATTCCTAGATCAACTTCATGACTTAAGTGGAATTATTGATTAGTGAAGACACAGGTTTGTTGGTTTGCTTCAAGTAATGACAAAGTGCCAATGTGGATCATTCCACTGATTTACATATGATGTACAGATTTTCTTGATCAAAGAGCCCATCATCCATTTCAATCATTTAGTAATAAATGAAATGATTACTTCCTCTGCAGAAATGTCGCAACTACATGTACATGTACATGGCATACACTGCAATTAATCTGTGTTTTTATTCAAATGGAATTTTTCCTGACTTTTGATGCTGTTAATGCAAAACAGATTGCATCATTTAAGTTGTATCATTTAAGTAACTGTTTGGATTTGGTTTTGACTGCACTTTTTTGTTTGTCTTTGGTAAATTTGTAATTGTTTTCTTCTTGCATTGGAAGAAATGTTTTCTTCCATGACTGAAGGACGTTTTTAAACATGGCCAACATTGAAATCCGGTCTCACCTGTAATGCGCCAAATCAGACAGAAGTACTGTACATGTTTTGGTTAGATGATGTACTGGATGCCTTTTCATTGAATGACAAATGCCATCTGCTCAATTCCGTATGGGTAGCTTTCTCTGGCAGCTGTAGGCCTACATATGTATGAGTAGTTGTCTGACAGTACAGTGTAATTGTCTACATAATCTGACCATAAAAAGCTGCTTTATTAGTGGGGTTAGCACATGGTTATGTTTAGTGTTGGTATTGTACATACATTGTCATTGCACATGTAATAGCATTTGGCATGAATCCCAATTTTTCGTCATACATGTATGCTCTCTCATTTTTTGGCCACATCTTCATTTTTATTGACCTTCACATCTTCACGCGTGTAATGTGCTGATCAATAATGGCCTGGATATTATTCCACGCCCTTCATACATGTACACGTACGTGGATATTGCAGTATCCAGTCTGGCCTGTTGTGTCTCTAAAAGACCGTGTCAGTTGACAGTTGGCTGTTCATGCTTCATTGGCATTGCTGTGTACTTGTTGAGGAGTCAGGTCAATTCTGAAAATAAAGTTGCTCAAAAGTGAAGTAACTGCAAAACTGAAATGGAGGATTTTTTACTTAGGCTTGGACTTGTACTCTACATGTAAAAAATTTATGCAGTGTTGTGCGGGATACAGGTAGTTCGGCAAACAAGTTAAGTGAAACAGGTATGAATAGAATATGGCCAGCTATGAATAGAAATTGCTTTATTTCACAGATTGAAAGGGCAAAAACCAAATATCAAAAGCAGTGAGATTTATCAAACACCATACACTCAGTGCATGCAACTGGAAAATGGCATAGAGAGGTCCATTTTGTAGTAAGTGAATTATTTTGCCAGATGGTGTGGTGTTTTGCATTACAAATGCCATTTCTGTTTACAGATGTGGCAGCATTATGTTCATTTTATTTTTTTTCTTTCCTTTTTAAAGTTTTTTAATTGAAAAAGATGTCATGTTTTTATGAATTATTGTGCAATAGTCAGAGTTGGGTTGCAAGAAAATGGCGGCCTTCTTGAGAAGGCTGTGTTTTGTGGGTGAGTTTTATAGAATGTCGTGCTTGGCTGGAGCTTCATTCTTAAAGGGGCAAGGCAGTTACCCTATCTAAAGGGCACTTGTACTAGTATTGGAAAATAGCAGTTGCCCCCTTGAAGTTCCTGCCCTGTTTGTGCCATTCCGTTGCTGCAGGAATGTTGCCGACTGCAGTAAAAAAAAAAACCACATTGTAAGATACAGAAATCAGCCAAAATTAAATACTTGCATTTACTGGCAAGAACATTTACATGTACAGTGTACATTGTACGTACCACCGTCAAACAGTGCCCTCGAAAAATTCGAAATAGATTATCAATGTTTCAAGTATCACAACCTACCAGTAATGCAGTTGCATTTATTGAGGGAAATTAGGTGTTTGTAAGTTTTCCAAAGATTAAGGATATTGTGTTCCTGCATCCATACTAAACTTGTTGTCTATACTGTGTGTATCAATGAATGTGTACCTTGGCAGGGAGGTAGCATCAATCTGTACCAGGGTTGACTCAAGGACAAACTTTTTTCTCGTTTGTACCCCTGCAGGTATGTCCTGCCTGATCCCGTTCCTGCCCGTCTACATGCGCCAACTGGGCCTGACGATCGCCGAGACAGGCCTCGTCCGTAGTCTGGAACCTTGCATCAGTTTTGCAGCCAGCCCTGTTTGGGGCAGTCTGGCAGACAAGTACAGTAAGCACAAACTCCTCCTGATTGTATCCATCGCGGGAAGCAGCATACTGATGTTTGCCATCATGTTCATTCCTACCGCCGAAGCGCCGGGTGCCAGCAACAGTACCTCTGACAGTTACGGGACTGACCAGAGACTGCTGCTGAAGTTGGATTGGCATTTAAATTGCAGTTTACCCACTTGGGCACAGAGTTCATTCTGCAACCATTCTGACTCGAGTGACTATGTGACAGCAGATGTCTGCACAGAATTTTGTGACGCGGCAGTTATGATGAGTGGAATTGATATGCCAGCAAATTTGACATCAGAGTTTAATTTATATTGTACATTGTGCGTGCCCCCTGAATTGGGGCCAGTGGTGATACCTCCTATTAAATCCAACGCAACTATACAGAGTACTTATAAAACCTCGACTCAGAAGCAGCTAATGCAAGGTCATATTCTCAGGGTATTGTGCCTTCCCATTCGAGCAAATATTTCAAGCATGGGCAAAAAAATAAGTAAGTGTCCCAATGAAACCAGAGATGGCGATTCATGGTGCTCAACAGTTGCAAGAAACTTTTCTGAGAGTCTCCAAGAGTGCCTGCATTGGCAGCAGTGCACCTGTTCCAATTTGACAGCTGTGCCGCAGCTGGCAACGTCACCGCACGCCAGCAACCTGTACGTCTTTGGTCTGGTGGTCATGCTGATCCTGTCCAGCAAGGTATTTGTTTGCAACGTCTTCCCTGTGATGGACTCCACGTTGATGCTGACGCTGGGTACTAGACCCCAGGACTATGGCAAGCAGCGTATGTGGGGTGCCGTGGGCTGGGGCGCATTCGCCCTCATCAGCGGCGTGGCCATCGACACCCTCAGCAGAGGCTCCAGCCACGTCAACTACACCCCTGCCTTTTACCTGTTCGCCGTCCTCGAGGCCGTCTGCCTTGCGTGCAGCTTCTTCATTGTCAGCCCGCCTCACACGGCCAACAAGAAGATGCTGAAGAACCTCTGTAGCTTGCTCATGCAGGCAAATATTGTGACCTTCCTCCTGGTGGTCACAGTGGTCGGGATGTCCTTTGGCATCACCGGAACATTCCTCTTTCTGTTCCTGGATGAAATCCACGGGCCGCACATGCTGATGGGCCTGACTCTTACCGTGAACTGCATATCGGAAGTGCCCTTCTTGTTTTTTGCAGGCCGCATCATCAAACGCATCACCTACATCGGGGTTGCCTATCTGACGCTGCTGTGCTATGCCGTGCGATTTCTCGGCTATTCCCTCATCAACAATGCATGGCTGGTCCTTCCATTTGAACTGCTGCATGGGTTTACCTACGGTGCTTTCTGGGCAGCTTGTACATCGTTTGCCAGTGCCAATGCCCCCACTGGAATGACCACCACCCTGCAGGCAGTCATCTCAGCATTCCATGTTGGAGTAGGTGAGGCAACTCACTTTGAGCAAAATTCAATGAAAATTTAAGGAAAGTTCAACTATTGGTGCATGCTTTTCCACATTAGCAAAGGCCTCAAGTTTTATCAGGGAGCCTACCTTTGTCAAGCATGGCACTCCCCATTTCCAGCCGACCAGTTCAGAGGATGGCACTTCAGTTTTTTCATTGTATTGGAATACTTGTTCTTGTCGACGTGCATGACACCTCTCATGTAGTAGTGTGATGATAATCTTTTTTTTTTTATTTATGTATCAGTATTTCTTCACATTTATTTCACATTCTGAATAGACACAAAGTTGAATTACATTGTACATGTATAGACATCAGCAGTGAAATAAGGAAAATCTGTGTAAGATAACAAAGGAGAAGTAATGTTGAAAGAAAGAGAATCACCTGATGTAATTCAACATGTCCCATGTCCCTGTACGTGAATGTTAACGGTGTATGTGCTATGTGCAGATTTTGAAGTTGAGTCCACCAGAAGTCCCAGTAAGCCTGCCACAAACACCTGCAAGACATCCAGTCTTAAACCAAGCCATCAGTTATTCAAATGAGCTGTGACAAAAGCATTCTTTTGTCATTGTTTACCATGTTTACAGTAATGACTACATGTACATAGTGATAGGCTTGACTACAACACTAGCTGATACCAAGATACCGGTACCATGATGCTTAAAGTAGACGTTGTTTCCATTTTTTAACAATTTCTTTTGAACGACACCTTCACAGGTTTTAACATTGCCTCTCTGAAAGAAGCGCTTAACTTTAAGCTGCGTTATTCTCAGTCGTAACATTCCATTTGTCGTGTCTACACCTGACTGTTATAAAAATAGATATCCGGTTCCAGGTTCTAAGAACTAATTTCCAGTTCTAAGATGTGAAACTAACTCCTGAGGTGCATCATCTCCAAATCTCCACAGGCAGAGGTGTGGGCACCGCCCTAGGGGGTGTGGTCTATCAGGAATGGGGAAGTCGGACACTGTTCAGGGCGTGCCTGTTCACGTGCCTGGGCACCGCGGTCATCTACTTTCTGCTACGTCGGTTTCTGGTGGAGGGGGTGGAGGGACCGCTGGCCATGTATCGCAAGTTTTCCCTGGTCAGGGGAGAGCCCTCCAGCACAGGTGAGTAGGGACAGCCAATACTTAGAAGTCCATTTGTTTTTCAGGTCGTGAAGCAGCAATTAAACCCTAACATAGCGGTGCTTTTCAGGCTGTCTCCCAGCCAGGGGAGACAGATTCCACCCCTCCTCCCCCCGGACTCCCTGTCACATGCCCGATTCTTTTGAAACCCCGGCTTGTATGGAAAAACACTCTTTCATCACATCTGTGAATTTTCAATTTAATCTGGTACATAGTTTTGATTTTACACAAGCATCAAAGCAATTTACGCTCATGGCCTTACGCGTCAGCCTGTATGCAGCCATGACCAAGTGTATATGTTCTCGTACACACTGTATTTGGCTGACCATTAAATACATTTAAATATGGGTAGAGGTCTTAACTGTGCCTACATTGGGAGCCGAGTTAGCCCCAGACCAATGGTTTATGCTTACACTGTTACAGCTATATGTACATTTTCATGTTTAGTTCTAAAGTACAGTAAAATTTCGATACCTCGAATCTCTGGGGAATGGACAAAAAATTCGAGTTATCCGAACTTCGAGTGAAAAGAAGGTCCAGATTTCTTTCGAAGTTAAGTCATCATTACGATGTGTATCATAACAAGTACCTATAGGCTGATGCACAGTTACCGTAAATCTCCTTACGACGACTTTTGGAATGACATTGTGGTTATTTTATACTTTGGTGCCACAAGTTTTTGTTCATAGAAAGACATTTTTGCAGAGGATTTTTGTTGTCAATCGGCTGATAAATAACACATTACATGTACTGTAAATCATTTAAACTGTGTACCTTTGTGTGGCAAATCTTTCTTTTGCGTTGTGCATGTGTGACGCATTGTGGTGGTCCCATTTCTGATACCGCAGCACCTTGCACATATGTACTCGGACGGGGTTTCCTGATGAGTCAGACGACTTTTTTCATCATATGAGGGCGCACCTTTTTGCGCTTCAATACAATTTTGTAAAAACAAAAATCGTATTGGTGTCTGTTTTTATTTTTTGTTCTTCATTCTTTATTTTCAAACTTTTGTTTATTTTTTGGGAGTGAGATTTGGCTACGCAAAAGCTCTGCATTGCAATCACGTGGTTGGTCCACTGCGCATGAGCATGCTGTGGTTTGTGGCTCTAATTGGGCAGTCATCGCACGGGTGAGTGCAAGCAGTTGGGCCAAACCATTAGGGGTACAGTGCCCCAATTCAAGGAAAATTCTACGCCAGGCGAAGGCGCATGAAAAGTACCCCCACAGATTCTTTCGAAAAGAGGGGTCAAGCGAATGGTGGGATTGTGCCAGTATGGCCCAGGATCATCTGTAGATTCAGGGGCACTCATCTGGTGGCAAAGCAGACAAAAATATGATTGAAAATTTGTCAGAAGAGCCCGAGGAAGGTGAGGGATGTCATTTGAAAAATGGCTGCTGAGAAGACTTGGGAACAGTGACTTTTTGGGGGGTGAGTTTGTTTTTGGCGGATAATTAACAAATTCATTAGTTAACCTACAGTACTAAAAACTGAAAATCAAATGAAATCTGAAGGACCAAATAACACATTGTCTTTGTTTCAGAGGCCTCAGCGACTTAAGTTGCCTGCCATGGGGCTCCAAACTTGGTTGATTTTACACTATTTTCAATGGAGCTTGAATTGGTTCAGTGCAACCTATAGGCCTGACTTAACTTCCGTACGTGTGGCGCGTGCGGCATACACAAAGATCTCCAATGCATTGTCGCAGCCACCGCAAAGAGCCATCAGTTTGCCTGCCGACGCACTGGCTACAATGGTCCTACGGTAACAATTGGGCCAATTCCTGCAAGTCGAATTTTGCTGTCACGGTGTGGTTTACGTGTCTAGATCGATCATTATTGTAGCGCGCTTGCAAGTGTTCTGGTGTGAAAAGAGGAAGTGTGTCAGAAATGATTCCTAACTAGACCCACGTTCTGTTTACTTTTTCTGGAAGTACATGTATTTTGGCAGCGGTTTCTTTTTGATCTGCTACACAAAAACTTAGAGGTAAAGGAATCCGGCAACGTGAGCAGTTTGAGTTATGGATATGTTTTTGTACGTAAAAGCCTATTCTTTTGGCGGGAATTAATCATTCTTCGAGTTAAGCGGTGTTTCGAGTTAACTGACTTTGAGTTATTGAGATTTTACAGTACTTGACTTGTCTTGTTATTTTGTCAAACTGTGGCCCATAGCACAGACCCATGCTGTCAAAATCAACTACTGTACTGTATATGAGTGCTAGCTATGTTGTATTCTGCAGTCATGATGCGTGCAATTGTCTCATAAGCATAACTTGACATTATAATCAATAAGCTGTTCCTATAATCAACAAACTTTTTACTATATTGTGCAAGCTTCATGTAACCCTGGGATACCAAATTCCTGTGTACAGCATTTTTACCCATTTCTGCCTCTGCAGGAATCTGAATTTTCCATTTTCTCCTAATTTGAGTGTGTTTGCATGGACCATATACATGTACATGTAGTTTGTTCAGTTGGGTCATCACAAAGGTTTAAAAGTAGTGAATTCCACTGAGGCAAAATGCCTCAACACTGGTTGAAGATTGTCTTCATCATTTGTAATGTTTCTCGGTAAATCAAAATGAACCGTTGCATTATGGTGCTAAAATTCAAGACTGCAGAAGATGTCAATTTAATTTTGTTTACGGTGTGGAATGGAAAGATGTACATGTAGACCTACATGTACTTACATGTATTTCAGTCCTCAAAAAAAAAATCTGGAAAGAGTCCCCCTGTACTTTATTAGGCATGCGGTTCCTGGCAAAAATCCACCTCCCACAAATTTGGCAACCTGAAGAAAGTCATTAGGATGGTAGGGCATGTGCGTAATCAAGATTTTTCCCCAGAGTAAGAAGGTGGCCTCTTCCCCCTCCCCCAAGGGAAGATTCTGGCACAATAATACTCTACTATCCCTCCATGTCCCAGAGGCTACATGGGCAGGCAGTCCTGCCAAGCCCGGCTTGGGTTTCATTTCTTTCACGCCCTTCCTTGAAGCTCTGGAGCCAAAGCACGGGGCCAACTCTTTCTTTAAAGCTCATTATGAGTAAAGGGAGCTTGGGAGTAAATTCAGTTCCTTTTTCTCAGATACACGTGCATGTTGCATAAATTTTTAAAAACATAGTTACTTTGAAACTTCGTAAACCCATATCCAACCCTTTTTCCATAGGCACCTCACTAAATGCTATGCTAAAATGCTAAATGATAAACCCCAATTGCAACAACCTGCAACAGAATTCAACATTGGATTTTGTTGCCTTGTGGACTGCGCTTGATGAACACAACCTTGACTACATATGCAATTCCACAGTGTTTACAGTCATACACTTCAGTTTTCTGACTAATTTAACAATATATGAAACATTTAGACTTAATGGGGCCATTCCGTGAATGCAGGATGCTTGAATGTACATTGTACCTACATGAAGTTTTGCCCTCTCCAATACAGTTCTTTTTTTTAATTGTTATTGTTTGTTGTAAAGGCATGATTTCTGTTGGTTCAAATCACCTGTGCCTGTAGGTGTACCTGACCGAGTGCAAAGTGTCTTTGGAATATTAACGAGAGAATCCATTTTTAATGCCTATCAACAAAGGATTAGTTGCGCACATAAATGATGTACATTGTATATACACATGTATATGTATATGGTTCATGTAGTCTCTTCGGCTCAATATGTGGAAAGTGATTGGTTTCCTGTCTTTTCATGTCTTTGATTCCATTCTTTTCTGGAAAGGGTCAGGACAGTACTCAAGTATATGAACATGTATGTGGGGACAAGTGCATTAAAACATGTTAAGAAAAAAATTGATTTGTAACTGTGCTGTGCTGTAGCTGATGGCTTGTTTATTGGAAGTCCAGCCTTGTGGATCGTGCATGTAAATCACGGCAGGCATAAATGTACATGTACATAACTGATCTGCTGGAAGATGCCGAGTTCAGGTACATGTACTTATGCTGGTACATGCACATCACAGCCTCACATTATTTCTTGAACATAAAAATTGAAGTCAGTGGCCAGACAGTGATAATTTTGTACTTGTACTACACATTTTAGATTTTATCTGTCGGGGTTTCCAAATCCATCTGGAGGGTTTTGAGGAATTTGCAGAACTTCCAGAGAAGGTAGCATTCAGATATTTAGTGTTCGAGGGTAGGACTTTATTTGCCTGTTGAATGTTGAAGTACAAAGGAATGTCACCGTCATATTCCTGGAGGAGGAATTTGACCTAGACAGCAACGCCTGACTTACTGTCAGACCGTGGATGGCAGCAGCAAGCCAGTAGGGGTGTTAAACCACTTGAGCTGGACAGGCGTTGCAATAGAAGAAAGGAAAAGGGGACATGACTGCTGCCAATGTCAGGATCGGACATGGATGTCAGGATTAGACATGGCACCCTGTAGTGGGACATGTCATAGTAGAGGAAGATTTGGGAAGAGTTCTTACAAAATGTGTTCAGTGCTTTTGTTGTACATTCCGTTCTTTGTAGGTGTTTTTGTCGTCAAAATTTCTGCATTGTCCAGTTCTGCATCATAAAAGAGAATATTGATTATCAGTGATCACAGTGCCATTACAAGGTGACAGACTGTAGAGGCTTGCACTTCACAGTTTAATCACCATCCTGGGACTAAACATAAGAAAGAAGTGTCATTTGTCCATTGGCACGCCGTGCTTGTGTAAGAAAGTCAGGTTGATTGGTAAACCGTGAACACATCCCAACTCTATCCGCTTTATAGACTGTTTATGGTCTGGGTGTCTGTTTCCCAATTTGATACTACAGTCCAGCTCAAAAGCGACTCCAAAATGTCATGGTTTCATTCTCTCTCTGGGTTTGATAATTCTCCATTGCGGTAGCGCACGTCCCTCCTAGGTCATTAAGAAAATTAATAACAAATCAAATTTGGAGTCACTGGGAGGGGTTAGCCTTCTGTTCCCTTCGGGCGATACTGAGCTAATATGTACAGAAAAACAGCCCAGGAGCCAATAATTTGCAGGTGGTGTCAATGACAGATATCGGCAAACCAGCTGGCTATCATTCCGAGCAGGGTGAGAAAAAAACCTGTGTCATAATTGGATTTCTTCTGCATCCAGACTGGATTGAGCTGTGTGGTCAATATTTTGATTAACCCCATTCTACCAAATTGCATCTCAAACATGCATAAGGAGCCTAGATTTAGTCCCCCGCCACTCCATGGCAATGCTGGAAGTGGGATCATCTCGTTGTTTTCTGTGTGCAATTTTTCAGAGCTCACTTTTGTGGTTGGTTCAGATGAATGTCTGTTGAAGTGTATATTTTGCTTACAATTTTCAGTTTAAGAGTATTAAAAGAGTTTCAGATGAGGAGTACGTGTTTGTTGAAAATAAGGATGGATTAAGATTTTTTAATGTGTGCCAGTGTTTGACTTGTCAGCATTCAGTGAAATCAGAGTAACATGTAATTACAAGAGGTAACCCTGAACTAGATTTTGCCCAGATTCAGTGAGAAGTACAATGTTTCATTCGCCAAATCAGGATAAATTGCTTATATGCACATGTATGTGCACATTTGTCCAGCCCTCAAGTACCGGTACATAGCATATTGTAGAGTTGCTTCTCATGGCACACATTTCTTGTCCATAATACCCAGCTCCCTTAGAACACTTCAAGTAATTGATGACTCACTGGTCATGTGCCATAATGACATTGCTTACAGTGTACATGGCACAATGCAGAATGGACGTTTTTCGGACCTTAGAAGTTTATTTGCCCTCTCAGAACTTGAAAACAAGACACTTTTTCCCCGTGTCTGCCACGCTCAAATGATAAATTGATTCAATTAAATTAATTCAAACATACATGTACGTGCATGTTTGCTGAGCTCAGCCTATTAGGAGCAAAACAACGCTTGACAAGTCACTGAGCCTGATAGTGCCTTTATATTTCTCATTTGATAAGTGTAAACGGACTTCTAATGAAGTGTAAACACGTTCCTTGTGATGGCTTTTTGAAATTGTGCACTTGCAGTCACCCAGGCTGACATTTGGGCAGACAGCAGTACACATTGGATTTTCAGTGTCGGAATCAGACCACACGGTGTTTCTGTTTCTGACCTTGCTCCGTATGCATGGCGTATTTTATGAGTCACATTTTCAATGTGAAGCTCACACCAGGCGTTGAAATTTAGGGGGAGAATGAGAATGCGCATGGTCCTAAGACTGGAAAGCAGGCTGATGTACATGTAAGAACATGTACATATGTAAGAACAAACATCAAAACAAGAAAGAAATCAACATTCTTTTTTAGGGGTAATTCCAGAAATTAGGGGTCCAAAAGTGTGACATTTTTGTGTCTCTGTTACATCTGACCTTTGTTATTTGACATGGAAATATCATCAGAATTGTTTTCAGACTATTACTATTTGTTTGACAGATAATTTGCATTAATTCATCACTCTTGGAAATTAGAAACTGTGTTCTGAACTTCCCAAATCATATGTCAGATGTAACAGGGAAACAAACAAAATGGACCCCTACTGTCTGGAATTACCCTTGTACTGAAAATCTGATAGGTGCTTTAAATTATTCTTGCCAAAAGATTATCAAATTGAAAATGAATTTTTCATTTCGTTGGCTTTTTAGGAGGGCATTTTGTAATATTTGTCAATGTTTACTGTTTGAGTTTTATTTACTTATTTAGGCGCCATCCATGTTTTTCCTCCTGTGTTCAAGTTATTAACTACACCAATCATTTCCATAGTAACATTCATATAGTACATGCATGAAGGCATTTGACATTCAGAGAGTCGGAGACAATTCTGTTAGGGGATGTGCTGTAATCCAATTACCACTGATGCAGCAAGTGAAATCGCACGCTAGCCAACCTCCTGCTGCGCGTATTCCCCCGATGATCTGGCCATTAAAACCACAAGACGCAGTGCCCCTGTGCAATTCCCTCGCATGGAAGGACGCAGAAGCAGAGTGCTGCACTGTTAAAATCTCCGGGAAAAAAAAACACTTCAGCAATGTAACAGCAACCTTAATTGGCCCTGGCTTGCCCGGGGTTAAGAAGTATCCACTTTCTCCCCGAAGACTCCAAGGTGTTAAGGCTGTAAGCTGCGGATGGCTCAGAAAAGACGGGGACTTCATTAGCAGATAACAGGCGCCATTCCTCTCAAGTTGTGGCTCAGAGGAGAGAACGTAATACAGATGCAAAATATCACCGGCAGCATATGGCTAGCCAAAAAGTTAAACTAATGGCTGGTCTCTGACCACCCTTGAGCATGCTTTGTTGCAAAGTTTGCTCCATTCCACACATGTTCATGCACCTGCACGTTGACGTATACAGGAAATAGAATTTTTTTTATAATCATTTGCTCACTCTTTGTAAAAACTTACTTGGACACGTACTTATGCTGACAGATATGAAGAAATGGATGGTTTAGGTGTTACTTGATGAAACATTTCTGATATGTTAATTTGAAAAAACAAAACAAAAGCATGACAAAAACCTGATTGGTTACACTTTCAGTTAAGTTTGAATGGAATGAAACTATGGTTAAGTGGGATTGGAACAAGGCACTCGCCCCAACAGATTTTGCAAGTGTTTAATTTTTAACCCCCCTGGCTGTTATATACAAAGGTACAACTGTGGGTACTGTGTTAGTTTCTAGAAGAAAGAATTATTTTTTATTTTGTACATTTTAGAAATAAAATATCTCTCATAAAATGGCTTAAAAAAGAATGAATATGTTTTTCTCTGTGGTGACTTGACTTGCTGTAAATTGTCACACATGTATGATTGCTGTTCTGCAGTACCTTGTAGTGTACAGTATTGTACTGTATTGCAATACATACGTACACTACATGTAGGTGGATCAAGGTCATTGGACAGATGCCATTGAAAAATTCCTATCTTTCATCTCATTTTTCTCTTGCAAATTCTTCCCTTTGACAGATGGTAGACGGAAGAGCAGCTGCCTGTCTGAACTGGACAGTGATACGTGTAAGGCCATGGACAGCCAACAGATGCAGCTTACCATGACGACCATCGACCAATCCCATCCTGACAGTCCACCTGTCACTAGGACTTACCACACCCACCGCCCGGTGCTACACAAGATGCCTATGCCCAACATCCCGGTAAAGGGTCCCGAGCCATCACGTACCCTCTGTTCTCAGAACATGATTTCTTATTTACATGTAGGCACGATTGCAATTCTGCACAAGACAGGGCTGGATATGAATTCATGTGCACAGCAAAACAGGATATTCCAACAGCACATGCCCAAAATGAGGGGTGTCCAAGGTTAGCAATACCTTCGCCGGAGCTGCCCTGTCAGTGTGGTCTTACACTAACTTTCACCCGTGCTTTGTTTTCAAATGACCATGTTTTTTTGATATACCAAACTAACTCATTGCTAAACGGCATAGTCAAGCAATTGGCATTTTCATTCCCTGGTGCCGATCCATTCATTAATGTCCGTTTACCAGGGAAGGGAAAGTTTAGCACAGAGTGGAGACCCGAATCTATGTTACATGTAAGTGTGTGTCGCTGTATGAAGATGGCCAGAGCCCTTGGTCCTGCAAAGTTGCTTTCGTCACACATGTACAGACTGCACCAGCAACTGAAATTAATTAGAAGCCTTAGAAAACGGTGGCACAACGCTTGTACGCAGGTCAATGCAGGTTGCTGCGACTCACCGAAATGCTTGTACCTCAAGTAGGAATGGCATCTCCTCAGATTCGACTTAAGCCACTGAGCCTTCTAACATGTAAGATACGCATGTCTTAGATAAATGCATTTATACATAACATCAATGGGATGTTTGGCATAACCATCTCAGCATTTTGCATCCGCCAAGCTTCCCTATTTCTCCAGTCTAATGTCAACATCTACTTTAGATTCTACAACCTCATTCCGGGCATCACAGAGGCTGCATTCTCCTGGAGATGAAAAGAGCACACCGATCAAAACTTGGAGTTACATGTAACTAGTTCTTTTCAGAACCCCACAACTCACAATAGATGTACCTCTCGCAAACTTTACAAATGATTTTTTGTCTTGTTACGTTTTCCTATCATTTCTCTTTCCAGGATTCTCCGGAGGATGACACAGACAACGCATCTCCCAGCAGCTCCAGTCTCTCCAAGCTTCTTCGTATGGAGGAACGTCTCCCAGCAGCCGGCCAAGAGGTCCTGGAGATGAGCGGGGAGGGACGGCCCCCGGCTGTGGGCAGAGAATCCGTTCAACAATGTGACAATGATGGAAAGGGAGGAAGGCAAACAGTGGTGTAGAGAGAGCGGGGAAGAACTCTTCGTAGGCGAGGGAAATGTACCTGATTATCTTGCCTTGAAAACTATTGTGTGTCAATCCCAGAAGCGACCAAAAACAGCATGTTTGGACACAGGCAATTTGACTTGCTTTTTGGAAAGTTCCGAAACATGCAATTTTCAATTTACATATGAATTGAAGGTTTTGAATGCATGGGGAATGTAGTAATAAGATAGCATGCTCTGTCGTCAGGAGAATGGAGGACGTACATGTACCCAGTCCCCCCCCCCCATCGTGTGGAGTTTCCATACCACTGGGCACCTTCCCCCTCTGCCCTCCACCCAGGACTGGCACGGTTCCCCCCCCCCCGATCCCCAGCAGCTCCCTTGCTTCACACATTAGGACTCCAATGTTTGAAACTGCTCATTTCATGTAAGCCCCCCTCAAAGTTGGCTCCCCTGCATTCTCCTGACAGTGGACAGAGCACAGTGTTTGCCAATTCTGCGCTTTGAACCCCACTCGCTCAAGAGAGATGCTCGGTACTGCTGCAAACCTCATCTTAATGAGTCATTTTGGTGGAGATGGTCTGAATGGGGATGTGAACTCCACTGTGATTCACTTCAGAAGTTGTCGTGTGAATGAAGACGATGAAAGGATTCACGTTCAAAAGGCAGTGTTTTCTTGAGAAAATCTACTAACTATCTAACGAAAGTGCTTCTCTTGAGATCTGCCAAAACGTTACCCGTACTTATGCATGACTTTTGGAGGCTGGGAGCAGCACATTCCAAATTGATCAATTTGAACTGGTATGGGAAGTTCTCTCTTGATTCTGTCACTTCACCCTTGGGTGACTTCAGGTGACAAAATGACCAGGTTGACAACAAATTAAAAATATTAACATTATTTGCAAGAGAAATGTTGAATCATACATGTTCCCAAGGAAAAGTTATAAATGAACACTCTATATTTGTAAGTTTGAGAAAATGTTGCATTTCTTTGGCAGTTCAGATCCTCATAAAAGATCTTTGTTCTCGTTACCGACCGACTGGTTTTAATACCTCTCGGCATTTCAGTTTGGACATGAATCCTTACTCAAGGTATTTTCTGCCAATAAGGCCAGTATATGCATTAGTCTATCTAACCAAACGGTATGCTATCAAACTTCACATATATGAACGTGTTAACCACTTTGAGTAGTGTTATTGCGGGTTAGTGAATTTTGTGGCTCAAGTCAACTCATTTGCTCGCAGTGTCTCAGTTGGGACTCTTGTCAAATCAAGTCGCCAAAACTTGTGACTCGTTCGCTTGAGTTGTCACAGCTCTTGTCTGCAGGGTAATTAACATGCCAAATACCGCAGCGTGTGTCTTGAATATTGGAAAAGCAGGGGAAAAACAACCTCAGTGTAAGTGGACTTAAGTTTGCCCAAGTCTCCAAGATACTGCAGATGTCAATGGAGAAGAATCAGATATTAATGGAGACGAATATTGCTTAACATGCCAGTATTAAAAATACAACCGTTTCTATGTGCACTCTCACTAAAGTCTGTATTTATTTTCAGTATCCGGTTCGTAAAGTGACTTCATCACAGAGGCCCACGTGCCATGATTTGCAGGCTCTCATTGGGCAATCGCCGAAGTTGCGCGTTAACTTCTGGTTCCATGGTTCCATGTAAACGGCGATCAATGCATGAATTATTAGGCGTGGTTTCAACTGAAGTGATGTCACACTTACGAACCGGATACATTTTACTCATCCAGTGAGAATACGTTATAAAAAAAGGGACAAGGATTGTTTGGAAGATGGGAGGTTGTGTATGTGTTTGTCATCGCAAGGAAGGAGGGCAATTTTATGTTCTTTCATTTTTTCTGTACATGTATTGAAGTACTTTATTAATTTAACGGTATTCTGTATTGAGGGGGGGACGTTCTGTGTACTGCCCGCATGAATTGTAGAGGGTGTTTGGGGCAAATTCACAGCTCCCAAATGAGGAGGGCAAACCTTTGTGTGTGCAGTTTTGTATTGCATGCACAACTAGCATGCGTTGTACAAGGTCAATTCTATTTGTGGAGTGTGAGCTCGAACTCTGTACACAAGGGAGTTGCATCCAACTTTTGAAGCAGTGACAAAAAATCAGGTGTTCAACAGTTGTTTACGGTAGCGTGTCAAATTCTTGGCCAGATGCAGCAAAATCAAACAAAAAATTAAAAAAAGACCTGAAAGTTTACGTGCATTTCCAGATTTAGCCTAATGTAATGCTGCTGAGATGTAAGAAAGGTAATTATACCATGAAAACCTTGGTTATTATTGAGGATGTCAAAGCAGTGCACCACGTCAGGATTCTAGTCAACTGAAATTTTGTCCTTTTTTAATTAAACCAAACTTGAAAACGAATTTATGTGCTTAGGTTGTGACGAAGACTACAGGTGCCATTTCACTGAAGTTGATAAGTTGATTTAAGCACCAGTTGGAAAGTATGGATGTGCTGTCTGCACCTTGCAATTACAGTACACTACCTTATAATGGCCAATAGAGGGCGGTGCCCATGCAGCGCAGGGAACCACCAGACGGTGGAAAAATTTACGGTGCCCTTTTTCTCCGACTTTGAAACGAAATGGATTCTTTTATAATAAGACATTACCCACCCAGTTATGATAAAGATGGTCTTCAAGGAGATTTTTAGTTTGAGACAAATTTGACAAGACGTGACTTATGTGCATTATTTCATGGGAAAAGGTGAAATGTTGAAGTTACACTATTTACTGTTTTTCTATGTGGACTTCAAAATACCATTACAATACTTTATAAATGGTATTAAACACTTAAGTATATCATACATCCCAAAGGACGTATAAATCCTAATTTATACGCCTTGTTTTATTTACATGTACTTGTCTTATAAGTATTATTTTCTGTCGCACGTCAGAGAAATGCTGATTTTCTCTCGAGCAAATGATCCTGACTGATCGAAGAAAATGTACTGAAACGACTGCACATGCGACACTAAGTGCAATACAAGAATGTACAACTTGTTATGATCTGGACAGAAGAATGTGTTGTATAGGTTTGAGTTGAATTGATTAACCTGTACACCTGATCTGTGTACTCACGTTGACTCATGCACCCATGGAGGAATAAATGTGTTTTATCCCCCCATGATTCACCCTAGTCTCAACCAAGTGATTCAAAGTTCCATCCATGTCGCTCCGGTCATTTCCTATTCCCTAGTTTCACTCAGGTTAGTTTAAAGATTTAGTTCATCTCAATGGATGTACCTGTGATAATCGCTCCGTGGTTGATCATGGAAGAGGTGATTGATGTCTCTTGTATTATGCAATCAATAATGCCAATAAAACGGTGTACGCATGTGCAATCCCTACGCTTCTTGAACGGTATGCTGCCAGTCTTGTGAATAAGCAAGTACTTACATGTACGTGTATTGTTAATCTTTGTTACAAACGGGGATTTCATTCAAGAATTTCAATATCCAGTTGGAACTTTGATATTCTTATGCCAAATTTCAAAACATTCCTGCACGTTGGTTCTCTTCTAGACCTTCAATAATTTCCTAAAAGTTATCTAGTTATTTAAACCTCATTTTTGTCTCGATTCATCATTGGTATTTTACACTGCACTGTTTCTTTGCCAGACGTTGGTACCTCTCAAAACATTGCTTATCGCTGATCTTCAAATTGAAACTAACCTGTTCAGGAAATTGTCATGTGTATCTCCAAAAATATTTATTCAGGACATTTAACGTTCACCCCGGCATGAGCAACGAACCACAGTCCGGAATCCTTGCCTGAAACGAGAATTTGTTACTCCGTATATCACAGGATTCAAGCAGCTATTTAAGTACACGGTCATGACAACGGCGATCTCGTTTCGGTAGGACAGTTGAGTGTTCAAGATGAGGGAGATGAGATTACAGACGATGTACGGCAGTGAGAGTACCGTGGACAGGGTGACGAGGATGATCATGGTCCGGGCCACAGCGATTTCTTCCTTGGACATGAAGGGATTGGCGGCAGGATTTCGCCGGGCGGGCGCCGGTGAAGACGACCGGTCTGTGGTCGATGCCGACGGCTGCTCGCCGTGCAGGCTGAGCATGGCCGTTTGCTGCACGCGCCTCCTGCTGGCGCGTACCTTCAGGAAGATTAACACGTAACAGGCTGAGATGACGAACTGCATGGAGAAGCCGAAGACCGTCAGGAAGGCGATGGAGTAGGACAAGTTGGCCAGCCAGTTGATGGTGCAGGAGGGTTTGTTGGGGAGCCACTCGAATTTTCCCCAGCCTAAGAGCGGCGGCACCGCCAGGACCAGGTTCACCAGCCAGGTGACAAGGATGGGCCATAGCATGACGTTGGGCCGGCTCATGCCGTAGCTGTAGCGGAACCTGATACGGAGGAGGCGGTCGACCGCGATGAGCAGCATAGTGGATCGCTGGACCTGACTCAGAAAGGTCTTGATGAGCGCCTGGATCTGGCACGCGACGTTCCCGTAGACCCAGGCCTGGTTCACCACAGTAGCAGCGGTGAAGGGTAACACAAGGACTCCCATGGCCGCATCGCTTACGGCCAAGTTGACAATGAGCTTACTGGTGGGCTTGCTATTCAGAGTCTTAATACACGTGAAGGTCACGCAGACCAGAACGCTGCCGAGAATAGAGACAGTTGACTCGATCACTAGAAATATCACGTAAATCACTATCTCTGCTTGTGTGATAATCACGTCCGTTCCTTGACCACCTGCATCACTGCCGTTAGCTGCTTCGCTGATCATTTTTGTGCACTGCAGGCTGTGATCTCCAGTTAAAGCGCTCTTGTAAACTCCATTAAACAAATGCTTCTACTGTTGATGCAACCAGTTTACCTCTTGGGGTCCCTTACAGTGATGGCGATTATGCTTTTCGTGCTGATTCTCGAACGATTTCTTTTAGTCATTACTACAGGACCGCTCCGTGCAGCGAATACCGACCGCAGACAACCTAACGATGGTCTCTTCACACTTTTCACCTTAATTTCCCATCCCGATTGCCAAAGGTTCGTGTTTTCACAGAGAAAATCAACATTCACATTAGTTGTATTAACTTATCAAATCGTTTTGCGACTTGTTGAAAACACTCGTGGAAGCACCATCCCAGACCGTGTTGTCGAAAGCGTCAACAACCCTTCGTGTGTGTGTCAATTAATGAGTCAACATTCAGTTATTACAGTGTTTAATTGGATAGCTGCTCCGCCTGTGCACGCGACTGGCTGAGCAAGATTTCGCCTTTCGTCTATTGCATCTGTCGTACTTTGGAGCTTCTGATACCGGTTTTATATAGGCCTATACTAGCTATCTCCGGCCAATGCATCAGCGCGGCTTCGCAACAACGTCGGGGATCATTCATCCTTCGGGAAGCTTCGTTTTTTTGTACTATTATTAGACTTTTTATCTACCATGTCAAGATATTTTCATGTGAAGCAGCAACTAATTGGAAACTAAAGAGAATGCCAGCAAAGCCACGTATTTGAGTTGCCCGAAACATTTCGCGGTCGATGGACGTCGGTTCCAGCCAAAAAAAAGTCCACTCTGTTCAGCTCTCCCTTCGGCATCTCGAGTGGGTCCCGCGGACGCCTGCGTCCCCCGGTAGATTGCTTTTGTAAATCATTAACCAAGTCTCGATGCTTACCCTCTCTTCGTGAAGCATTCGTTCAGTTAATTTCGGGAAGTGGATTTGTCATGCCGCGATTGTTAGTGATCGAATCATGAATGCACCGGCCCATTTTTTTCGGTAAGGATCATACGTTTCAAATGAAACGACGCTTTTCATTTCCCAGCATTTATCAATGAATCCAGAACTAAAAAGTCGAGCAAAACCAGAATGGACAGAAGTCGAAGTGGGTACATTTTTTACGGACACAGACCTTGGCGGTGCTCACGTACCTCATACGGTCTATTTAAATTAATTGTTTTGCCGCCTCTTCCTTCATTCATCAGAATTGTCCGATGGAGGGTCAGAGCACGTACTTTTCTCCTTCTCCTCATTCATTTCACTATGAACTCATCTGGTGAAGAGTCCGTGCAAACCAGTGCTCTGACTCTTGTGAAGAAGGAAAGCATTGTGAAAATGGGTAACGCGGCGTGTAAGAAGGGCTGGCACACGAAGGCGTCAAGACGCGGGAAAGAACGGCACGCGTCAAGTTGGCAGAGTTATTTTCTCGGCTCTCCACCACACTGACCCTAGCCTTCAGTCGAGGTGATCGCTACAATGAAATTTATAAAGTCTACAAGCGACACGCAAAGGCCCCCCTTTTGAAAAAAAGATCAGCGAGAAAGTCGATTCATCTGGGGGTCGCCCTGACGAGCACTCGCCAGTCTTTTTTCAAGCACTCTGCGCGCCGCTCGAATGGTTATGCCCGCGTTCACTTTGACTAACTTTTCTACCTACTCTCGAATCCCCTGCGCTTATTATGGATTGGGACAAACCCCCACCACCGTCCACGATTTACTAAGACATAGTTTCTGGAGTTCCCAACCAATTTGTCTTTATTGTTTTCTGTTCTTCTGTGACAGCTTCGGGTTCAAGACCTTCACTGCCAGAAGCTTTTGAGACACCCTCAGAATGATGAAACACCAGAAAGGCATCCGTCCACAAACTGGAAAGAGAGAGCAGGCAAAGGCTCTTAATCTAGACGGAAGTATTTCCATGGTGTGGGAATGAAACACAGCCGGTGGATGTACCACCGAGCATATCACCGGTGTGTGTTTATTCACCTCATCATGATCGATCTAGTCGCAGGAGATTTATAAACTTCGGATCCATCCTGATTGCACACTATATATAAATCATGTGCACTGCGGAAACTGGTGTCCGCTGCCTCCGCGAAATCTTAATTAACGTGAGCGGATTCAGCCTATCAACTAATGGTTCCGTCCGGACGGACGGGAAATGACTTTGTGGCAGCTCCAATTGGCTGACACGCTCCGTTGCATAAAGTTTGCATGAACAGGTGAAAGGTGGGGGACGAGCAAAGCGAACTGCATAAGCTTGATTGGCACGGTCAGTTGAGTTTGACCAAGAGAGGGCGTTATTTTCTTAGCAACGGAGGCGCCTTTGGTCGGAGTTGAACTTTTTGCTGGTTCACGAACAACTAGGAAATGCACGCGTTACAGTCGCATAGCTACCAACAAAATGAGCACTCCCAACCAATACGGCTTCTGCTCGAGGCGGATACGTTACTTTAATGGATGACGGCATTGTGGAACACAGCCACAAATCACTCTAAATAGTCGTTTATTGGTGCTCCAGTTTTGTTAAGCCCGAAAGCCTTTTGCTTGCTTGTCAAGGTAGATTTCAGCAGACTGAAAAGCGGAACTAAACTTTAAAATGCGAAGCAAAAACAAACAAACAAACAAAAAAAACCATTCGTGAGCTACAGGTTAAAGTCCATTTCTTCGTCTGCCCTTTCAGACGTAAAGTTGGAATTCCGTCCCCGTAGACCTGCTGTTTTCATTTTTTATGTTGCCTTTAAGGCGCACCAAAACACAGCGTTTAAGCCCAGAGAGTTGTAAAGGTAGCTGCAATGGAATTTTTTGAACACAAACCTTCAAACTGCACTTATATGTATCAATTAAACTCAGTTAAATTTGCGTTCCACTATTTCAAAGGGTATTTTACTGTTTTCATGTGTTTTATGCTAATGATTTATCCATATTCATGAGCTAAATTGAGACGTCATCCTAGGAAGCAAGCCTCGATGTTATATTGGTTTGTACACAAATAACGTCTGGACTTTTTAAAAGAATTTACTGCAATATATTTCTCCTAAGGTGATTTACTGTTGTTTTAGTGCATAGCAATGAGCCAGCAGTCAGCTCTTTCTGAGAAATGTTTCCAGTGAGTACATTTTAACACAATTTAAACATGAAAGTAATGCACTGAAGTATTGTCTTCCTGGATGACGTCACAACAGAACCCGTGGTTGTGCAGGGAAGCATGGATAATTTCTCACTGCATTTAGGGTTGAAAATAATCAACAGTCGATATCCTCATGGGGTTACCCATTCATTACGGTACTTTTCAGAAATTGAAGAAGAGTATACAGTTGCAGAGATATTGTGTCTAAGAGAAATTCATTGCGGCTATACTTTAATAGGTCAAAAGTTTAATGAGGTTTAATACTCTGGTGAGGCCACTGCAAAGTGACAAACAACCCGCCGGTGATGCATTTCTGTGTGGATTTTTTTTAATTGATCCAATCAATTAGTCGGTCATGCGTCAAGAGCCATCCATTTCGGAGACACATGTCTTTATCATCTTGAGAGGAGATTGAGGTCACACATAAAGAGACTTCATCATAACTGTTTTATAGGGCTTGCAAAATAGTTAGATTACATGCTTTGTGAACATCGTCCGGACCTAAAAATTAATTTGGTGTAGGTCTATCTTAAAAGTAAAAACTTAGTAAAGGGAAAAAACGCTAATTGAAAGAATGTGAAAATTTTGATGACTAACCATTAACTATTACAGTGTTGTTGATTAATAGCTTAATGCTTTGATGCAGTATGTGCAGCGAAAGGGTCCAAGCACAGACATCCATAAAGGGAAAAAGTGCTGTGCTCCTGACAGTTTCTAAGCAACCATCATGGGCCCTGGGCGTATTTCCGACCGTCGACGTCAGAGGGGTCACAGACTATTGGCGATTATCTGTGACCCTGATAAGGTAGTGCCATTGAAGGGCGTTGAGTCCAAAATAAAACTAATATTAATTTATTAATTAAGAGTTTGTACTGCCCCCAATCAAAAAAGTTATCACGGATGTACTCACTATAAAACAGCTACCCTTTCAGCGAAAAAACGCTGTTTGGTAGTTTTGTAGAAATCTACATTCTCTGCAGGAGTGACATGGAAATTGTGATGTTCAGAAGTCAATCAAGGGTACTCCTGTTTGTAGCCTATATTCTTTATAGATACTTTTCATTTCCCTGCCTTTCTTTTCTTTTTACCTCGTTCTTTGATAATCATAAAGGCAGAAATTATCTCTCAAGTATACCCCGTTTATACTTCAATTTGCACCTCCATTTGTCTCCTCATTTGAAAATGTCGGGCGCCCCTCCTTTTTATTTGTTTATTGTTTGTTTTGTTGTTGTTGTTGTTTACTGTAACAGCAGCAACATTAGTAGTAATAGCAGTAAGTATAGCTGACACTGGCAATTGGGCGCCTATATTTGCTGCATAGGCCTAGGAATAAATAATCCTGGCTTGTTTCGCGGTTAATTTTAACGATAAATTTCTTTGTTTTCTTCACTATGTCATGTGTACGAGGTTCCGTTTGTGGGAATTTGTTTGAGTGTACTGAGGAGACGAATTGGTTCTTTTGTAGCGGTGATTCCATAAGATGGTCTTTTGAACTCAAAGTGTGTTTTCCAGCGCCAAGAGTTTCGACCCGAATCCTTTTATCGACGTTTTTGTCTGTGTCTTGCAGTGTCCTCGCTGTATTAGTGGCACCGGAATTCATTGTATTCGCTTCTTTGTTGAGGCAATCATGGTAAGATTTCCACACATGTACTTAACCATACCGCATCGTCCTATATAATGCATTGAAAATCGAAGTCTTGAGGCTTTTGTTGGATGTGGCGCCATAAAGTAGCTCTAAGTAGTAGCGTTGCGCAACTGATTAGTAGAGATAAGTTCTTGAGATACTCAAGATACCACAACGTATGCGCTCAAAATATTTCCAACGTATAAACAGCGTGATTCCCGTGTGATTTTTTTAATGAATGCCCGGGATTTGCGTGACATGATGTCGGTTCCCAGAATTGTCACATTTCTGCTTTTGTTGATCCTGCCTGGCAGCCCATCTCGGCCTGCGTTCATTGCTGCCCACTCGTCCAGCGTTTGTACCCAGGGCACGGCTTGCTGGCGCCGACCACGGGACTGCGCTGGCACGGCCTGTGATTACGCAGCCGAGTGGTCAGTCGATCGAGGGACGGGCGAGATAACGCTTGCGTTCCTCGGTAGGAGCAATGGATGGGTAGCCGTTGGATTCTCCGGTGACCAGGCAATGGTAAGTAACGGAAACACGTAGATTGATTCACTCGATACAGCGAAGTCAGTTGTCACACATACCACGGTGGAAGGACCAAATGTGGATGAGGAAGAAGTTAAGAAGTTGTGACTAGGAGGGTTATACGATTCAACCATTTCCTTTCCACGGGCTTAATGGACATATAGCAAAATATTTCATCACATGTATTTCATTATCTTTGTTTTGCTCGCTGTACTCGATTAGTTGTTGACAAGTATTAGAATATCATAACTCAAAAGGACAAAAGGAAAATGTGTTTATTCGATCGCGGTGAATATTTTCATGATCGACAGTCTTTTAGGGAGGGAGATGTTGAAGCATAATTATTTGACAGTTGTATTTTCTGGTAGCCTTTTCCAGGCCAAACAATTAAGCAGAAAACTCTCTCCAGAAATCAGTAACTGATGAATACACACTGTATTACTTGACGTCTGGAGTGTCCGGAAATAAACAAAGCTTCCAAATTAGAAGGCCTGATGTTTCAATCCAAGCTGAATTTATCAATGGCAAAATAAGAGGAGTATTTTGCTTTCGGAAAGATTCTGCTTGGGATGGAAGACAGTGTCAGTCGCCTTTTAAGGTTAAGTATCATTTATCCTGCTGTTTTGTTCGACAGGCAGGCGATGATGTCCTTATGTGCATAGCAGATCTTGGCGCAAATTCGACCGGTGCACGATTCGAGCACCGCTACAATTACGGATACTCCAACCTGCCGGCAGAACTGGTAAGCTATTTAGGCAAAATTGTGCTTAAACCGGACGGAGCTCCTAGGATGGTCCGCCAACATAGACCAACTTTGAGCAACGACGATAAGACCATAATGTCATGTATGTCAACCACGATTTGAGTGTTATCCAGGGTATCTTTTGTGCAAAGGTTACCAAGGAAAATTTTCCAGTGGGCCTATTAAAGTAGTCGTCGCTCGAGTTTGCCCTATGATCGGCCACAGTTGAACAACGTCACTCGAATGATGGCCGAGACTACGGCCACGCAGGCCACGAAGCACAGTTTCTGACTGTGGGTAAAAGCTGAAATAAAACAAATGAAAATATTGTACACACTTTCATAATTTATAAAGTAATAAACATAAAGCAATAATCCACTTTTAAGAAAGATTCTCATATTTTACCTAACCTTTGCTGACAACAACTGCGTGATGTCAACTCAACGGAATCTGGAACCCATCGATTGCAGGTAGGTAAATTTTTGTAAGGTTGTACAATCTCGTTTTCAAGAAAGCACGGCGAGTGAAAACGTGTATGACCAAGGAGACCTTGGTACTTTATAGCCAGACATGAAAATTGGACAATGAAATTGTTTTTTTACCCATCTCCAGTGACTTTTCCAAAATATTCCCTGAGGAAGACAAAGGCAAAATTCCAACGTGAATGTTTCATGGGGAAGTTTCAGTAAGGAATTATTTTTCTAAAAATTATCGAACGTGATAGGACGGCCCAATGTAAAACCCCCATAGGAAGACCGCACAAGGGTTCCAGAAGCTCGCTGCGTGACTTTTTACTTTCAGGTCAGGCTCTGTTAAAAAAGGCAAATGACCAATGGTGGAACTTCAGTTGTCCCCCGAACTTGTTTATGGATTCATTGCAGTGGCTTTCTTCTCCACGTCTCCCACGAAATAGGGAATGCTTTTATCATCTCAGCCTGTTGGACCTTGTAAAAATAGCAACAATTACGAAATAATGAAATTATAGCGTGAGATCAGAGGACAGTTTATATCATGCAGTTTTGATGAAAACATTTTCGCAGGAAGGCATCACCGTAAACAGTGCATCTTTTACAGACGGCATACTCCAATGCTCCGTGACACGTGAAGTCACTGTATTCAACAGTAGCCACATGACCTTCGATCTGTCATTTGATTGGTTTATGCTCTTTGCCCAAGGACCAATCACTTCATCTGGTAAGAAGCAGATCGGCTACTCTCAGTCGGTACTGTCGAGCCAAATTTGCACAGGGTCAGGCACTGTGCAGTTTGTTGATAAAGGTGCCATTGAGGCACACGCGACTTAGGCCTAAATGCATTATTACATAAAGTCAACAGCGCCCCCACACCATGTTGTCCCATTGGTCGAATTCGGGAGGCTTGTTCCCGTATGTTCATAAACAGCTCAATTTGTTGTTCGTGGGTCGGCCGCTCGAACGCAGGGAACAAACAACCGGTTATCGCCGGTGGTTAGTGACATATGCAACATGGCGGCGTCCAAGTAGGCTACGTTATTCGAGAGTTAATGTTTGGATGGGCTGAATTCTTTTATATATAAACAGTAACATTCTTTTCTGTGTTACGGAAAATAATTAATGTTAATTTTGCAAAACTTCCCATTGTCTATGGCTTTGGAAGCCATCTCTCTACTTTTGGCAGCTGCTCAAAAATCAAAATCTCAAGAGTTTTTCCGTGTGTTCCTGTAAAACCCTGATGAGGAGGTGGTGTGTGATCCTGTTCCGAGAACAGTGTTCTTGAGTCGTGTTCCCGCCGTTCGAGCGCAGGAACAAGAAACCCGTGTCATGAACAGGCCGCCCGAACTCCACCTTAAAGTTCCAAATAATTGGCTTTAATGGTGCAGTATCTTAAACTGAGTCTGCAGCCTGTTATAAGGCCCAAGTTGGAGATGACTTTGGAATATAGACAGTGACCTTTTTGAAAAAAAGTCCTATCTTGTCAGGATCCTTATCTGGATAAAGGGTTTTTATCTTTCAGGTCAACCGGTACGACACTCCAAGAACCCATCAATCACGGACAGGAAGGTTACTCTTTCTTCCCTCGATGAAATCTTCGTCCTAGGAGAATCTCGCTCCCAGTCACATGGACAAGATGAGTCAGGAGTTTCTGACGAGAAGAGGGAGGGCGGCAGCAACGGTGGCCATCAACACACAGGTCAGTCCAGGAAGCACATTCCTTTTTAATACAATTTTTTCCCACTACGCTGGGGAAACTCGAGTTGAATAAAGGCTACTGTCGTGGTTCTGGAGGTTTGATTTCCAATAGAAACTCCCAACATTTCATCAGGGGAAGCTTGTAGGAGGCATGAATACTAGTCTCTTCTCGAGACCGGTGAAGCACATGGTGTGTCCCCAGATAAACAGTGCTTTTACGAAACAAATGTTGGTATGGGTAACTGCAAACATGCAATTCTGCCTAATCTTGGTGCAAGTCTGCATCTGATCAGGCCTTAGGGCTCAAGAACTGCTGAGTGCACCAACTCCAAGACTATAACCCTCGGTTTTGCAAAAGTATCATCTCAATCAAGGCGGTGGTGTACTCTTGCACCACGCGGTCATTTAAAGTTGGCAGCAGAGTAAACGTTTTTCGCCCCCCCCCCCCGGCGCGAGTGTCTAGTGTTGCACTTACACAAATCCAGAGTCACACTGGGGACACAAAATGGCTCGCAAAAAGATAGCGAGCACCTTTGCAAATGGAGACCTTTGGGTTGAGTTCGGGCGACTTGTTCTCGTATGTTCAGGAACAGCTCGATTTGATGTTTGTTGGTCGGTCACGACCGTTTCCAGTTTTGTAAGCCATCTCAATAGTTTTGCAGCTTTTCAAAAATCAAATCTCACGAGTTTTTCCGTGTGTTCGTGTAAAACCCCGACAAGGAGGTGGTGTGTGAACTTGTTCCGAGAACAGTGTTCTTGGGTCATGTTCCCGCCGTTTGAGAGCAAGAACGCGAAACCTGTGTCAAGAACAGGTCGCCTGAACTCGACCTGTGTGTCCAACTTGAACTTGCGCTTGGAACTTGTCACGGCTTGCCGAATTCACGACTCCTGGTAGGCTTGAAGGGCGCCCCCATTAAACCAACAAATTTTGATACTTCTTGATTTATAGCATTTAGCGCTTGTTTGTGTGGTTTGCTCTCTGGTTTCAGTTCACTTTGCGATGGCTCTGTTCGTTGGTCTGTCCATCTCGCTCATCTTCTGGTTCAGGAACTAGACAAGGCGGGCCAAGCTTCGCAATTTTGTACACGTTTTCTAGGAGGAAGTTTTCGGAACCACCAAGGCTGAATAGCGCTGATACAGGGCATTACGCCTGTACTTTAGCACGGGAAAAAAATCAGTTTAAAAGTCTGTTTAGTAGGCTAATATAATGATGTTCTTTCGTCTCAAAAATAATTCTTTACGACTACTGCAATTTTATTGTCATTTTGATTATGTGCTGATGATAAAAGTAGCCAATACGTAATGCTTAGTGTACATTTTTAAAATGGTCAAAATGAGAGACTGAAGTTTTACACTCAAATTAGCAGTCTTAAGGTGATAAGTGCAGCTATGCCGAACTTTTATGATCGAAATCTCGATTTCGTATCTTGAAATTATTATGAAGCGAAAAATTGTGATGAGAGAGTCAATATAACTGATTATATATAACTGATTAAATCAAACTATACCGAAAAATAATTTTGATAATCATGTTAAACACGGAGACAGATGAATCTGAGGTACGTTTTGTTTACCACAGTGTCGGATTTTCTGTACAAATTTCTATCATCCAAAAGGATTGTTCCTCACCAATTATTCTAAAGAATGACTATATGAAAATCCTATCAATTACTCCTCATTCCCGATCGCAGTGGTCTGACTGCATAGAAATAGAAATTACAGTAAATCCCAATAAGTACAAAAATAACGCGTGCTCGTAGAGGACCTTGCACTGAGTACGCGTATCAGTTTGCATCGGTTCACAGACGATGTCCCATGTCTACATCTGTGTACCAGTCAGAATGGCCATGATGCTGCACGTCACCAGCAGAAGACCTGTTGCCGATGCAAGACAGGAAAATGGTTATTTAAAAACACTTTGTTCAGGAGTTAAGATGAGTTAATGAAGAAAGGCAATATATATGTAGTTACTTAAAAGAATTTATTGAAAATGTTAGTTACCACCTCTTGGGTTTTCTTGTAAGTGCATGTACTCTCCAACAAAACTACCCCCGTTTCAGACAGGCGTTCCACAGTCGCACCGAACCAAATGAAAATCAAATATTGAAGTAAATACGGCAAAACTTCGACGTCTGAAATAATTAGGAGCAACCAGGCGTGCTAACAGGCGACAGATCGACACTTGAAGGCGCTCGGAACGACACCAGGGCGACTTCATGGGCCGAACCCAGTACAAATGTATGTATTAAGTTTGTCTGTCTGAAACCAAACTTTAATTGGGTCGACCCGAGTCATTCTTAATTCTGTTTTGTTGGGTGCGACTCTAAAACGGGTCTTAGACTTGTACACTGTAAAATTTCGTATAAAATGGAAACCTTGCCAGGATAAGCCTTTCAATAGCTCTCCATGTGTGTTTGGCAATTCCACATACTACGGAACACTCAAATAGCAAGAATCCCCCGTTTGCGCTTTGACTCTAAGGGCTCCCTCATCGGCAAGGAAGAGAAAGGCTAACAGGGGAAAATTCCTGACGCGGTGCACGTAATAAGGTATTCAATAAATAAATGACCTCCCCCCTCCCCTCCGAAGGAAGGTGGTAGATAGAGGGCCGCCGTTTCCTACCTGCTCGATGGGCAGTGGCGCCATTATCGTCTTCGACGTGGGGATCTTCCAGGTCATCCGTGGATATGATTGGGAGCAGCGAGAAGTCAACCTTCTGTTTGGTGACCATGGGGATTTTTTCATGCTGCACAGGATTACCTGATAATGACCACAGCGAGAGGAATTAGGTTATTCTAAAAAGAGACAATCCCGAGTAGTCGCAGGAAAATTTTTTTGTATAAATCAATTTGAGACCGGTTACGGCGAAAACAAAATCAAAGAATTCGAGAGAAACAACAACAACTCATAAAAGAAAGATTGGGGGATTGACAAAGATGCCACTATTTCCCTGGCATTTATTTATTATCGGTTTGGATTACTGTGAAACCTCAAGAGTTTTCATTGCAACACGCTTGTCAAAAGTTCAAATAGTTTATTGAAAGATACTCGACCTGAAACCAGAGGGCCTTTTCCGAAGAACATGTACCAATCAGTGGTCAAGTTGAAGGTCACGCCATTGTTAGTCACACTCAAGTCCCGCTCAAATCGACAGCTAACCACGCCATTTTTGGTTGTAAGTTCAGTGTTCACAACGCCAACCTGTAGGAAGATTTTCAAATTTAGATGAAAAGCCATTGACATCACATTATTTTGGGACTTTTTGTTGAGGAGTGGATGACTTTGGTGAGAAATGAGGACAAGGAAAGTCAGGATGTCCTCAGTAGACGGTTCCGGAGCTTCCGTCCAGTGACTTTAATCATGGCTAGTGAACGTTTTCATTCATATTCACCGCCTTTTTCAAGGGCCAATTTTTTTCACAAAATTTGTGCACGAACTAACTACTACTAACCTAACTAACTGAATCGTTGCATATGCAATCTGTGCGCATGCGTTCGGCCGATCACGTTCGAGCACTGACGTTTTGGCCCTTCACAGAAACAAGTCACTGACTGTGGCCCGAGAAATGATCATGGTTGTGATTAGTAGATAACTGACAACATACACTACGCAGCCTCTCTGCTCAGTTTTCTTTGTCTTAACTCGAGACGGGATCTCTGTGACGTCTTCGTTTATGCTTTGGATACACATCATAATGAAGACCGCGCGCCGTTACTTGCTTCGCACGGCGCGCCCTCTTGTGTAATGAGGGCGTATGATAAGGTTATGCGAGCTGCCGACAAGGGATGGGATGGCTGACTAGGGAAGAGCAACGTAACTCCGACTTGATTCAAGTCTAGGGTGCATTCAGTTCGCTTCAAGTTATCATGTAGATGTCCTCAGACAACCTATCATAGGCCAAGTACATGTAGGCTGTGTCAAATAAACGCGACCGTGGGGGATAAGGTTGACTCTTATCGAACGTGAAAGCTACTCGAATCATGGTCATCGTCTCAGGCCTGCGTTGTGGAAGCAGAGAGTAGTATCCCTTCCTCTATATAATGGTGGAAGTTAATCGAATCATGGAGGACGGTACACCCGCAGATTTGTTACTTCCACTTCTGAGCAAGGGCAGAACTCGATGAATGGAAACCAAAATGATCCAGTACCTCCGCCAAAGCCACAGTCTGGCTGTTGCTTATAAGGAGGCTGTTGTGTCCAGACAGTATGATTTGCAGAATGGGGGGCATTATGACGTGCGTAGTAACCATTGAAATATCGGGTGCTGGGAAGTCGGTTCATTATACATTCATACTGGGTGTATTGGTCGCTTCGCCCTCCCCCGTCAAATGCAACTTACCCCACTGCCTGCAATGTTGGCCCTTCCCCTGTTGAAGCGATGCTCAAACTTGGACCCCGTGCCGGTCTCGTTTACGCTACACATGTATACGTCATCATCTCCCTGTTTTAGGAATAAAGAATATTTGAATAATTATTTGAATCCCAAAATGGAATGTGGTGCAACGACACCTGCGTTAAGAGATTAAGAGAGAAAACTTTGAATTTTCGAAATATCCCTGATACATATCAAATCGCACCGACAGTTACTTTCCTTTTTCTTCACCTGTGCTGATCGATCAATGCTACACACATACGCGTGATATCAATCAGGCCTCTGTACTCATGATATTAAAATTGATTTTTCACGCGTGTTTTTTTTTGTGTGTTTTTTTTAAAGCGTGGTGATGGATTTGAAGCTCGAAAACAGTTTGGTTCCCCCATAGGCCTACCCAGTCTTCGAAAATTTGATTCTGCATCCACCCATCCCCCGAAGCCGAATGTGTAAAGTACATATTCGCACGAATCGTACGACACTTCACATTAATTTGATATTTATTGATGTTTAGCACCTTACATGACTGCGTTGTAACTAATAAACTGATCTTATTTCGCTAAGTTCTCCCAAGGATGACTACGAAGTTTGCGAAACTTGGTTCGTGTCCGATGTGCCCCATTAAATGTACGATTTTCACTCACGTCCTCAGCTGGTGGAGGACATAATCACGTATAAGTGAAAAAAACACAATAGTTTCCAGCGCCTGCAAATAATTTCGAAATGTTTTGTGTCTCCTGGTCTTTTTTTCAGCGTTAGCAGAGCGTTAGAGTTCCTCACCCGTGGAGATTACCTCTTTTATACGTGCAAGGTCATCGCGAGCCATGTTCATTTCCAGAGAGAACGTTTTTCTTCACGGAAATGTTTTGGTATTTCTGACAGCAGGAAATGCACTGTCCCGTGCACGTCTCTTTCAATTCTTCACGTAGAGTGTCTGTTAACTTACACCCTCTTACTCAGCCACCACCCCGTTTACCTTTTGGCACCGGGGCGTGTGTCCCGTTCTCAAACTTTGTCACCAAATCCTCCAGTAAGTTGTATACAAAAGCCGATAACGTTTATCGTTACACAAAATCAGCAGCCTAAAATTTACCACCAATGTCATTCAGAAAAACAGAATAATTATCAAAATCAGAGGTAGCACATGTAGAAGATCGTACACAATGAATGGATGTCCACAAATTCTCCACGAATCTGAAGGGGGACACCTATTTGGTTTGGCATTGGTCCCCCAACACTTTACAAGATTGTATAAACAGCATGCTAGGACGAGGGATGTAAGCTTTTAAAAATATTGGACGTTATGGTGATGACAACCACAGAATTCGAAATCATCTCTTTGTGGTCTTTGCACTCTTGTAACACTCGTGAAAATGATGGCAAAACTGCCCAGATTCGTGAGGCACTCGCTGGAATGTATGATCTTTTTAGTTACGGGAGGTGTGTGGAAACCTGCATTGCAGCAGGTTTTTTATCCCCGGAAATTGCACTGGACTTGTGAAACTTAGAGAGTAAGCCCCACCATCAACTCCAAAGTCTTTCGCAGCTGTTTTGTTCGAAAATAGATCTAGACGAGGCGGTACAATGCCATTAAAAGGAAACAACTCCAGGTCAGTGGAGTGGGGGGACACGCTGTGAAACTTTTATAAAAACCAAACACTGAGGACGATTAGTGAGAGCATGCACAACTTTCGGGCAAGTTAGTAACTGTGCTTTTGATGTCGCACCAACGTTGCTACAGCTATATCCCACTTGAATAAAAAGGCTCAAAAGAAACGTGTTATGAAGTTTGCTCACCACAACAGGGTATGGGTCTAATTTTAAAAGCGCCAGAGTTGTTCCAGGTTCCTTGACCGGAAACTCACGCTTCATTTAATCTTCTGATTTCCAATCTGGTTTTCATTTGAAAACACTCCAAAGAAATTTCCTTTGACACGGGCCATTTCCTACAGACATTTCAAAAACAGAGGTCACTGCATTTTCTACACCCCGAACCTTTTGTGATGGCACATTAAGGCTACTTTATCGCCTAGGCCTACATTTTATGAGGAGAGGGTGTCCCCCAAAGTACCGGAAATTGGTTCAGTATGTGGCATGCAGGCTCTGTTAAAAAAGGGAGGGGTGGAGAGAGTTATCTTTTTCATATCCGTTTTTCTTTTGATATTGTCAGGACCTGGAGCTGGTTTTATAAATGACGGCACAATTTTTATCAAATATGAATACTGTCTTGTCGGCTTGGCTATTTTTGCGAGAGCGAATTGAGGTGTTCCATCCTAGAGTTTTCTTGGTTTGACCGAAGGCTAAGTTTAGTCAATCTGGTTCGAAGGTTTTGGCCAAATTGGCCTTTCATCAAATAAGGCACGGGGTGCATTCCACTTAAGTTTGTTTTTCAGTATTCGCTGACGGTTTCTCATTAGAAAAAGTGTAAATGAAAATTTTCAAACTTTGAATAGGCCCACGTTTCAGTTTGAGTAAAAATGCCACGTATTTATGGGAAATTACCTAGCCCCCATGCATCCAAGTGATTTCCCGTAAAAACGGGTGGTCACTGCAATTACAAATTTAGGATAAGTTTATGGAGTTCCGTACGCAGAAAACCACCTCACCCTAACTTGTCTGGACTTTTAAAGACAAATCGTCAACATTTATTGCTTCCAATTAATTTCCAGAAAATGACGGGATATTTTGACAGCGTTGCGTGGGTGCCGAATCCCCTGGAGAAACTCCTTCCGATCATGCATGTGCCGCCAAGCCCGTACTGTCTCGCTAAAAGCAACAGCAATATCCGGGTCATACCGATAAGCGTTGGTCAAACTGCTAATGTGCTGACCAAACTGCGCTGGTCAAACCAGAAGTGTCGGCCAAACCACAATGTGCTAACCAAACCGCTAAGTGCTGGTCAAACCGCTACGCGCTGGCCAAACCGCTCATGCACCGGCCAAACCGACATTGTGCCGGAAAAGCGGCAGCGTGCCAGCAAAAATGGCGTTGTGCCGGTCAAAATGACAAACCGTGTCGGACTTGTGCCTCACGGTATGCTTAACCGTACTGTCGCAAACAAACAGGATACTGCTAGCTGCTATCCAACTGTACGGACCTCTTTCCCATCCCCATCCCTCCCCAAAAAACCGGTGTAAATTTCAGACAACTAAATACATGACGTCACCGGCAGAAATGCGCATAATGCGATGCACACAGCAATGCGAACACACAGGAGGAGTTTACAGTAAGCTAAGCAAAAACAACAAAGAAACATTGAAAGATGCAGGAATTCATAAGTCTTGTTTTCATCTGACACATACACTAATTTGTGGCCAACCGATTCGAGGTACGTCTCTAGGTACTAATTTCATTTTTCGTTCGCCCGTTACATAAAACTCCTTGGTTCATTTAATACTGTTCCACTGTGAAGAAGATAGCCGGACATACATTGAGTCCTAAAATGATACCACGTTATATGGGGACAACATGAAATAAGTTTCCAAAATGTAAGTTCGGTCAATGTTTGCTCCTCTGGCAGGAAGGGGGAGGGGCGTCATTCGACCTACCATTTTTTTATCGTGGGTAATAGCGATAGCCACCCAACCTGTTGCCCTTGCAGCGATCTTGAAGTCATACTTGGTAGAGTTGGCTTGCTGACTCCAAACCACCTCAAAGTCACAGTTTCCGTAGGTACATCCACTGGGAATCATGTAGCATGCGTTGTTGATGCCGCAGAAGTAGTCGGCCTTGCAAGGTGGCATCAACATCATTGCAAGAATGAGAAGAATGGTAGAACTCGAAGCTCTGGCTGCCATGATGAAGCTAGCTCGGGAGAAAATATCAAGCCAGTTCAGATTTCGAGGCTGAAAGAGTCGGAACGTCAACTTCGCGCGATACTTTTCCTCGACACGTCTGTGACCGTCTAGCTTGCAGCCCGTCGAAAGTTCTAGAAAGACTGTTATAAATGTATTTGAATAACAGAAGAGTTCATTCCTTCAATCTAATTCATTTCGAAAGCAGCCCCAAACGTCCTTGAAGAATATTGTAGTGTTGTTGTCTGACAACAATTGCGACTTGAAATTACCAAATAGAGTATTAATCTACAAAAGAGTCCCCATCCCGCACGATTGGCCATAAATTGGCATACTAGACAGAATTGTGGTTTACGCCACCAGTGCTTGCACTAATATTGAAACACGGAGGCAGAACAAATCCCTTTTACTCCAACTCGTTGCATGTAAATAAGATGCATTGACTGGGGTCATGGTTGAAAATAGACTTACCAGTTTTCATCAATGTTGACTACAGTCAGTCAGATGGAAAGTAGGTATTAAGTTCAACACAATAAAATGAAATGTGTTAGCCTAAATATGAAGCTAAACTTTATGTTTCACCAAATTTGAGGCAACCAACTCGCACACACCGGGGGAGGCTCACGAATTCTCAGGCTGTTCTCACTGTAGCGTCTTACGCCTATCATAATGGATTTCTCCTCCACACGGAAAAAATTGAAAGATACACTTTAGAAAAGATGACATAGAAAATTTAAACATTAAAAAGTAATTTCTCAACCCTTCTGAGTCGTTGAATAAAAATGTCCCACAGTCTGCAAGCTCCTTTCTCTTCCAAGGTGGATACAGAAACGAAGTATGCATGGAGGGTAATTGTTTTAGAGGGACAAAACTTTCGAAATTTAAAATGTTCATTTTAACTCTCAATTCACACTCAGTGCTAGCTGCCCTCATCAGAAATAGAAGATAATGAGGAAGCAGACTATTCAACGTTCGGATCTATAGGCCGCCTATTAGGCCTGCTTTATCGCTTCCCGCGAGTACACGTCTCAGTCACAGCATTCCAGCCTGTGAATGCATACTTAACAACAGACAGCCTTCATTGCTGGGTAGCAAAAGGGCGTCTAACCCGAAACAAATTGAAAGGGAGAAGCCACGACTGTGGGGATTGTTGTTTGTATTTTGCTGCCAAAAGTGTGAAAAGATAAACGATTTGTTTCCATTTTTTCGTATCAAATGGAAAAACGAGAAACGACTCGTTTTGTGCGCTTTTTTATTGTTTGTTTGTTTGTTTGTTTTTTTCACAATGAACCGAAAACGACTTGTTTTTAAATTTTTGATTCGTTTTCAAATCGAACACGCCCTGTGGTGTGTTTGGCCCACGCTCGTAGCCCGTAAAATCCAAAGATAGTACATGTACATGTAAATCACGGCGCTGTAAAACCTCATGTCGCCCTCAACGTTCGCGCTACGCTGATTCATCCGTTAGATAGAAAGAAGGTCATGATGCGTACTCCGATTTTGACAGGTCAACACTGGGTGGAAAAACATGAGAAATATCCTACTTGTAACATTCCTCATCAGTCTTTCAGCTGCGTCTCAAGTTACTGAATACGGTAGGGGCCCTCTCTTTCTTGCCAACTGTTTTGATAACGCCGTCAAGTAGGTTTGACCGCTCGACAGTAACTCCGAGTATCCACTGTGTTCACTGCGTTCAACCAATTTCGTGAATAGTGTTTTTTTCTCGTGTGTAGACTTTCTGCATGTAGCCTACCTACGAAAATCACAATTTCCACTGAGTTACATTTGAAGACCCAAGGCCATGGTACACTCACATGATTTTATATGTCTGGAAAGATTTAATTATCGTCCCCTTTTCATAAACCAAGTGGGGCCTAGCCTAACAAAACAATCTTACAAAATCATCCTCACTCTCATAACATGCATAATGACTTACTGACGTGACATGACTGATGTTTGCATACATAGGCTTGGCCTATAGTAGGCATAGCAAAGCACATAGCCATTCCATCTGCTGTGCATGTACATGTACATTGATCCTTTGATATGGAATGGACTGTCTGTTAGGGAAGCTGCAATATGGTGTAAATAAACAAATTTCGATAATTTTTGCCTGTGTGTGAAGTATTTATTTTATTGATGTTCTGGGGATTTATTTTTTAAAAAGCATCTTTGCAAGGTGATTTAATCTTTCCTTGAAGTTCCCTCCACGTGTGGAGTGAGTACCGGTCATGAAGAGGCAAACTTAAGAATCCCCCTCATTGGAGTGTTGCCTGACAACCCCCCGTTTTTTAATTGATATGGACACAACTTTCACCCCCTCCCACAAGTCAATGAAACTTCCTAATATGGTTGATGTAACCTTTAACCCCAACAACATATGTTTGAAGTATATTTTCGTGCCACTGGAGAAAAGTTTCACAGGTCTGTCCATGGCCTATTTTAACCGGGCCACTAGACTGTAATTTCCCTTCAGATTGAAATACATGTATCAGACATAGCAGGGGATAGTACATCCTGCCCTTTCAAATACAGTCAAAAATAGTTGAATCCCATCAGTAAAAGTCTTGTCTTTTCAGCAAAGAATATGAGCAGTTTTATTTCGTTGACTATAGAGTAAGGGGTTGATGAAGATGCTATAGGCGGCCATATGGCCGCGTGACATCCATGTCATGGACACTATCCTTGAGCTAACGGGCTGGATATCCAAGGAACTGTCGGCACTTTTAAAAACTTTTCATTTGCAGGTATTCAAGAAACTCTTTAGTTTTTAATGAACTGGTTATGTTGTTTTGATGTTTATGTTGAGAAATAAAACATACATGTACATGTACTGCACTATCGTCGTGATGTGATATGCAAGTGGCTTGCCGTCCGTGCTTCGTCCTTCGGGGCACATGATCAATTATCGAATTTGCAGCCCGCAAGGATAATAATGTGAAAAAGACCCACAAATCCCTGAAATAGTTGATCATGGTACCCGCTGCAACATCTGATTCGAACCAGCCAGCTGACACCGGCAAGCTCGGTTGTCAAGTGATTAAGACGTTGGCACTAATAATGATAATTTATTCATCTATAAAGCGCAAATTTCATACAGATACATGTACACTGTACATGTATGTTCCAATGCACTGTACAATGAAGACATTAAGCGTGGAACAATGAATACATTTAAACATGGTTGAGTTGATGGTATACAAGGGCGCCTTGGGCAGCTGCCAAATGACCCATATTCACCAACATCAGTAAAGGGGAGACAGTAAGAAGCAGTTACTGTTTTAGAGGTGGGAGGAAAACCCCAAAGGAATATTCTGGGTAAAACCCACGGAGTCAGGTAGGGACTGAAAACCCAATCCGCATGTGGACCGGGCCGGGAATCGAACCCGGGACCACAGAGGTGGAAGGCAAGGAAAGAACTACCTTGCCAATTTGACTCACTAGTAAGCAGGAGGTCTTGGATTCAAGTCCCACCCGAGTACGCTTGTGGGTTTTTCCACAAGCCTTTGGAGGCATACACTGAGTATACAGTGTTAAAATACACATTGGGCAGGGCAAAAATCCAAAATTAATTTACATCTCCCTGGCGCAAATCCATCGTTTAAAGAATTTTGTCGTTTTCTGAAATATTTATTAGATACTTTCAGAGCCATAAATTCTAACAACAGTTAATTTTAGGCCTAACCCTAATCCCCTTTGTTCTTTAACTAGGATGCATCCTTAGTCCTTCAAAATCCTTCAAATGCTTTCAGCAAAAAACTGGATACAACCAGATGCCAAAAACCTCTCCTAAACTAAAACAGTGTTGAGGATGTTGAATGATATCATGGAGCAGTGCAGATGACTTCATATCTAATCTAGACATGAGTTTATGCATGGCCAACTGATTAACACTTTTGTGTCAATCAGCCTCAATCCTGCAAAATCCTCCATAAACTGCTCAGAGGAATTTGGATGATTGAGGAAGGTTGAGGCTAATTTGTAAGTCACCCACATGTCATCTTACTGTGCTGCTGCCTTGTCAGTCAAGGAGCAACAGAGACTGAACTTAAAACAGTAGTAGATGCATTTTGTTGGTGTCATCTTCCATTGTGTCCTCCAAGTGGCCCTAACCATGCAAAATCCAACCAGTTTGTTGGACAAAATTTTGACCAGTTGCGAGACTTTTCTCCACTGAAAGCACACCAGTAAATTGTACCTGTATTTTTTGACAGACTCCAAACCCAATGTGCTTTTCCTGATCGTCGACGACTTTCGGCCAGCCCTGGGCAGCTATGGGGAGCACGTCCTCACTCCCAACATGGACCAGCTGGCAGCTCGATCCATCCGGTTCACCGAGGCCCATGCCCAGGTACAGTGCAGGGCCGAGAACAGTGCCCTTGTTTGATTGCAGTACGAAAGCCTCAGTCTGGAGCTGAATGTGTTCAGTATGTAAAATGGATTCTGTAGGGGAACTGTGTTCGGTTGATTCTGGTCCACTTGAAAAATCTGAGAAAAAGAGCACTTGGCACGCGTAGGCCTCATGAATGCAAACGAACAGTGTGCATTGAGTGCTGAATATTGGATGAGTACATGCCATTATTGTCTCTGTAATATTAAGCTGAGCAAAACAATAAAGTTTTTCCCCGTCCACGTCCTTATTTCTTTACAGTCGTCTGGTTTTTTTTTCAATTTGGTATAATGAACAATGTATTTTGACTTATCATTTCTTACCCAATGTTTACATGTAGCTGTAATTTAAAGTTTGCTTGACACGTGGCTGGAAATTGCAAACAAGTCTATTGTTGCGGCTGCAGCCGTTATCCTCAGATTTGTGTGTAATTGCAAGCCTCAGCCAAGTTATTCCGACAGGGCCTGAAAAAAACGAGTGAAATTTAGCTGCTTGCTTGGTCACTTTTGTTTGAACAGCAAGCCCTGTGTGCCCCCAGCAGAATCTCATTCTTGACCAGTCGCAGGCCAGACTCCACCCTCCTGTGGGACTTCAGGTCCAGCTACTGGCGAGACTCGGCCGGCAATTTCACAACGCTGCCCCAGCACTTCAAGGAGAACGGGTACTTCACAGTGTCGACGGGCAAAGTCTTTCACAAAGGTACGGAGACACGGTCTGATGAAAATTGAACATTTCACCCTGTTGAATCAGTGGATTAATTGGCCAGCAGAAAAGTTTGGTTTGGCTACACGATAGGTTTAGTCTATTGGAATTAGGATGGTTCAGTTTATGGAAAAATGGACAAAGTGGGCACACAGTGTTTGTCACATTTTCTTTTAAAAGCCTTTTTCCGGGATGTAATCATTGTCGAAGTTGCAAGACTGGGAAATGACACTCGTGAACACGTTGGCCATGTTGTTGCCAATGAAAGTCAACTTTTTTTCTCGGGTCTGTTGGTGATTTTTAGGGGATGTTGCAAAACAGGGAAATGACACACAAGAACACGTTGGCCATGTGCGCTTGTTGCCAGTGAAAGTCAACTGGTTTTGTTTCAGATCTATTGGTGATTTTAAGGGGATGTTGCAAAAAGGTCAACACAAACATTGAACAGATTTATAATTAATTGATGGTACCCTGCGGATGTCTTCCATCCACAACCAAAGGTGTGTGCTGTTTGTTTTCATGCTACGCAATGACAGCAAGTTTGTCAATACCCTCAAATCACCACTTGGGAACAAGCAACTCGTGCAGGTCTTTAGTGTGTCACTAGAGGGGCTCCTTGAGATCGATGTGAATTTGGAACTGTTCTCATTGATCAAAAAATCTCCCTTTACCCCAGTTTCAAGTCATTTCTGACTCTGCAAACTTAATGTTAGATTTATTATTTACTTGACTGACTTGATAAGCCGTAGATTTAGCCGTAACCAAAATGACATCAGGACACTAAACTCTTTGCTCAGAAACTCTGGTGATCTTTTTTGTCACAAGACGATGAGAGGATGAGAATCCTCTGGAAAACTTTAAGATTTCCTGATTTTCTTGTTCACTGCGGAAAATATTGTGATAGGAATATTTCCCCAAAGTAGCAAAGTGTCTCAAAAGGCTTCTCTCCCCCTTGGACTGATTTGACAAGGAACAGAGTTGGAATATAGTTAGAGGCTACCAAGGCTTGCTACAAACTCAGTCATCTCCCCCATCCCGCGTTCCTCCCTTGGAGTGGCTCACGAAACCTTGCACTAACTAAGTCATGAAAACAAATACATGTACATGTACATGTATAATGCTACTACATGTATTTATTGTGCACCCTGCATTATGTGATGTAGCTGTGCCATGCTCAATTTGTTTTGGAAACTTGGTACTGGTGTGCATGTAAAGGCACTCAGTGTTACAACTGTGAAGTTTGAACTCAATTGGACATATGGTTTTGTTGTTTGAGTCATGTGAATTTCAAGGCTACATGTACTTGTGTGCCAGCCTGCATACATTGAGCACCACAGAGGAAATGATATACATGTACATTTTTGGCTGACCTGTCTCGGGAAAAATGCACGCCACGCAAGAATGGTATATTCTGTATTCACCAAATGGTGTCAGAATGACCCAAAAAAGTTACCCTAAAAAATCCTAAAGGCTAAGCTCCCAAACAAATGCACAAAGGCAATGTTGGACAAAATGTAGTGGGGGGGAGATTACATCCCCCACAGCCCTTTTGAGGTTAATGTACTGTTTACTATGAGCACACCCATGCCTTAGACTGTCTGACAGAGACCATGCAAGCACATCTACATGTACAGTACTTGCATTAGGAAAGACAGGCCTTGAATTTGATAATTTTTAGAGCAACGTCACCCTCGACCTTGCATGAAGTAACATTATAGAGGTTGCCACAGCTAGTAGGTAAGGCACCAAGGCCAAATAATATCTGTAGATGGGGCACAGATCCTGAGTGCGAAAAGTAATATGTATGTGTATCTTACCCTGCAGCAAACACGTATCTTACTTGCATTGGCATGATTGGGCGTGCTTTGAGTGAGGGTCTTACCGTGAACAAGAAATCAATTTTGTAACATTTGCAGGCTGTCTTCTCCAGTGATCAGTTTGGGTCACCTGCTTTAATCGCTGTTTGAATTCAAGTGACATTGTTGATGTTTAAAATTTTTGTTGTTGTTGTTTCAAAATGTAGGATTAAATAAATTTTTCGTCAAAAATTGTGGACAATCAGAACACCAGGCATGCGGAAGCATGCGAGTTCATGTCGTGAAGTATTGTCGTTTGCCATGTACCCTACAGAAACATCAGTGTCATCATGTCATCATGTGCGTATAGCACATGTACATACATGTACATGTATGTGTACTACACATGCAAGTACCGAGAATGAGACAGTCAGCTGATTTTGCATGTAAAAGATCTACCGTACGTGCATGTACATTTGTACTTCGGGTGGAATGTGAGCGCCTGAATACAGACTTTCATTACCACAGCTGGGTGTTACAACTTGTACAGTACGTGTGATATTGGCACACTTGGGAGGTACTTGTACATTTACATGTACATGTAGTGATGTACATTTCCGTGTACCTTGTAAATCGTTTTGTAAGTATGCATCCGGATATGTACTTGTACATTGCACGAGGATTGCTAAGCCAGATTAAGTTTTGCTTTAAGCCGTTCATGTGCCCACATACATGTACATGTACATGTAAAATGTGATTTACTCGGTGAGATTTTAAGACAACTGATCGGCCTGGCATGCCATGGAAAAAAATTGTTGATAGGTTAAAATCAACAGAAATTAGGAATTATAAAAGAGGCTCATTGAGGGATCCCAGTACAACGCATTTAGTAATGAACTGCGCACTTCAGCATTTGAAAATGAGGTTATATGTGTCAGCTTCACATGCACATCCACAACGGCACAGTGAGATATACATGTACACGAGCCTCGTTTTCGATGCGGATATGCACAGATGGCGCCAATGTGAAATCCCTCTATTAACTTTTGGAAAAAAAATCATGCAAATGCAGATGTTGTGTTTTAATGCTGCATAAAAAATTATAAGCTTTTGTCAATATTATGGGAGGTTTTCTCTATGAATGATATATCATTGTCATTTTCATGTCATTCTATCAAATCAGTTACAAAAAAATCTTGAAGGGTGAATGCACTTTGAAAAATACAACTTTGAAAACAATTTCAAGAGCATTTCATCGCAAAGATTTTCAATCTTCGGGTGCTGAGGTATTTCATTCACAGTACAGGTACATGTACATGTAAATATGTGTGTGTGTGAGGTTTTTGGTATTGTCCTTGCATATTGAGATTGAAAGGCTCGGCGTTACTCATTGGAGGATTCATGAGAGAGGTCAGTGGGGGTCATTGCCCCCCCTTGCACCCACCCAAATTTTCTGTTTTTAAAGAATAACAAGATCAAGCTGTTTTAGGAGGATTATGTATATAATTACAGGTACCCACCTGGAGACGCACTCCTCAGGCCATAAAAGTCTACGTAAAAACTTCTCAATTTTTAGCACTGCCCCCAATTCATGTCTCCATCAAAAGTTGGTTCTGAATCTGCCCTTGGCAAGAATAGTACTCGCTATTATCTCCCACCTGGCTTAATTTCCAGCAGGCCCTTCCATAACACATTAATTTTTTACCAAGGACAAACGGTCAATAAGGCCCTATTCAGCTACTAGGGCCTCATTTGATTAAAATTGCTTTTGGGTCTTCTTTCCCTCCTCTCCCCTTCCCCCCCCCAAAACCGCTCAATTCATCAGTGGAGACAGCGTCTGTCGTCTGCAATCTTGTTGAGGAGAGCTGTCCTCATTTCATTGAAGCTATTGTCAGGGCACTCATCTCCTTGTTTGGATAATGCAAGCATCGTCCTCAGCCTGACAGCATTAAAATTCTGCATCTGCTGGGATGAAGTTGACCAGCCCTGAAATTTTGGACAGCAATTTAATCAGTTTTCATGCTTTACTTGCACTGCGGGACGTTTCATCTGGCCAGTCATTTCCTATCTTTGCCTCTCCATTTCTTGTATATTTCTGGAAACTAAATTTGGATGCTTCACAATCAGACACATCAAAACTTAGTCTACTTTTTGACTAATTGGGAATGTTGACTACAGAGGACTACATGTAGGTCTGAATAAGTCATATGCAAAATTAAAATGTGAAATTGTGCATAAGTTTCCTGACCGTATGACAGGTAATTTACATGTAGCTGTATGAGGCTTGACGAGCACAAAATGTAAAATTGGCAATTTCTTTCATTTTCATGTGACACATATTTCCATGTCATATTTTGTGCTCATCTATTTTGGATTTAGTGTGTGGTACATTTTCCTGTGAATTGGCTGAAGTTCAGAAAGAATGGTAAAAGTGCAGTCTCCCAGTCGCACAGTACACTGAACCACGTGGTGGAACCCATCCATTGTATGCTGAATATTCCAAAGCTCACCTTTATGATATATATGAAGTAGGAAGAGAAGGCCATTTATCATGGGGCTTGTTTCTGCTCGACTGCTCACTGGACAGCTTGTTTACCAGGATGTTTGTTCCCTTGTGTTTTGTTGGGAAAAAAAACAGGAGCCTGTTCCAACTTCACGGATGACTACCCACTGAGCTGGTCGATTCCAGTTCATCGGCCCACGTCAAAGAGAGAGAAGGGGATCAAGGTAAGGGCTGGTATTCAAAAACTCCCAGAGGATTTGTTCCACAATGTTTGAGAGAACTAAAAAATTAATGTACCAGGCTGTGCTTTATTGGAGCTTACCTGGCATTTGCAACCACTTTTACAGCATACCAAAGAAGCTTTCTGAATTAGTGGGCTCTGTAGCCTTCAAATATTCATTTTCAAAAGCAGCCCTCTGACAGGATTACGCTGTTGCCTGGAAGTACAGTTTAAGGTTACTTACATGTGTGTCATATTAGCATTCCTCCCTGAAACCACACTGCACTGTTTTAACCCCTACAGCCATTCCCCTGTATGTAGGTCACCACTCACCAGATTGTGTTTGCACGTCCTCCAGTCTGAAGTGGCCAGAGTGCAGTGTCAGAGCTGCTTTCAAAGTTGCCCGTCAAAGTTGTTACTTGAGCTTGACATGACAGAAAAAGCCTGATGACTTGTGATGTCCAGTGTTGAGGGTTGACTCTCAGCATCACATTCTCAGATTCTCACCAGTTTACTGATTTTCTTTTCCAATTAAGGTTGAAGGAATATAATGTTCTGTACCAAACAAAGTTGCTTGTTCATAATTGCAGGCCTTAGTGGTAAAGTGCTCAACAGTGAGGTCTCTGTATCTGTTCTATTCTAGTGACATGGCCGGGTAGTGTTCTAGTGACATGGCCGGGTAGTGTTCTAGTGACATGGCCGGGTAGTATTCTAGTGACATGGCCGGGTAGTATTCTAGTGACATGGCCTGGTAGTATTCTGTGACATGGCCTGGTAGTATTCTAGTGACATGGCCGAGTAGTATGTTCTTTTTTCATCAAGCATTTTTCGACTTGTCCAATCCGAGCCATGCACTGTCACTTTTGGCATGTATATAGCGTACACACATGGCCGAGTATTGTGTTTAGATTATTATTCATAAAGTGCAGTCGCAAAACTGCATGCGAACGTAGTTCCCACCTGGCTTCTAATTTGCATTAGGAACAGGACAGTTCAAACATTGAAACCAATTATTTGGACGCTTATTGGTGTTCAAGTTTTGAGTGATGTCTCACTAGAAAGGTCAGAACAAATGTGGTCCTAGAAAATCATCAGTTCAGTTTGGAAATCTATTTTTCGAGGTGCCAAACCCGCAAGAGCCCAGACTGTACATTTTTAAAGGGCATATGTGTCCTTACTGTGTTTTCTCTGGCTGACTAGTTGAATGTCTGAATTTTGAAAGCAGGTGGTTGTTAGTAGAGATGCACAAGGGGAAGCTGCTTGTTTGAGCCAACCAGCTTTTTTTTTTAAAAAAAAAAGGAAAAGACCAAAGTTTAGGCTGTGGGGTTTGCACCATATGTTTAAGTTTCTGGGTTTTTTCATTTTTTAATAAAAATATTCATTTCTGGGTTAGTTTGGGTAACCCCAAAGCTACTCTTTTCATTTGGCCGTACCTGTATTTTCTCACATCCATACACAGCTGTGCCCAGGAGCAGACGGTGCCCTCTACTCCTACACCATGTGCCCTGTCAACGTCACCCACATGCCAGAGGGGACGCTACCCGACATCGAGACCTCTGACTACGCCATCTCCATCTTACAAAGTCTTTCCCAGACCCGTGGCAAGAAGAGCGGAAATAAAAAGAAGAGGAAGAACAACACTCCGCTGCCCGAGGAACTCACCAAGCCCCACCTGCCTTTCTTCCTGGCTGTCGGATACTACAAACCCCACCTGCCTTTCAGGTGAGTCGCACCGGCAGTCGAAGTGGTGGTGGGTGAACCGTTTGAATGTGTGTGGAGGTGGCTGGGTGGAGCACCGTGTGTCTCTGTGGACTGGGTTCAAATCCAACTTAGACGCATGTCACCAGGTCCAACCCACCCCTCTTGCTGGCTGTACATGTAGGTTTAATACTACAAACTGACTTCCTTTAAGGTGAGATAAAGAAGTGACTAGAGTGGTATGTAAACTGTGGAGAGGATGAAGCACCCCGTACCACTGTGTTCTGGGGCCAAATCCGGTTTAGACATATTTGCTTTTATAGTCAGCTTCTACCTGATTTGGTTAGCATTTGAGTATTTTATCTCTTCCCTTTTTGCTTTTTGTATTGTGTAAGGTTTTTCCAAATTGTATTGTCTTTCTTCTTTTTCCACCCCAACTCCAAGAACATGGCTATGTACCAGCCCCCTAAACTCTTAATATCTGAATATGCGCTTCCTTCGCGGTGGCCACCTGCTAAAGATGTGAGACAAGCAGACAAGTTAGCTGAAACCCAGTCAAGTGCAAAGACTTTGATTCCAATATGATTTCTCTTCAAGCAAGCACAATTTAGCTTGAGTTACAGTATCCCAAAATCTCATTGACTGTGCAGGTACCCTCAGGAGTACAAAGACTTGTACCCTGTGGAAAGCATGCAGATAGCCAAGAATGCTTTCCACACGGTCAACCTTCCCCCTGTGGCCTGGGAACACTGGAAGGACGTCCGACGCGGCGAGGACATTCCACTCTCAAAGAAGTTACCTAACTATTTTGAGCCCATGCCCAAGGAGTATCATGTAAGTCAGTGTTGTAGGGCAGGGGAACCAGACTCAAACTTGCATCTGTGTGTCGTCTACATTGTACCTCTTCATGTCAAGCTTCAAAACTTGGCCTCATGTTACACAAATACAGGCTTATATCACAGACAAAGGAGGCTGCATTGAGCTTCATTTATCCTAACTCCTTTCACCAAGGATGCAACCTCAATCCTGCAAAATCCTCCAACTGCTTCCATGTAAGAATTGTCAGTAGTCGGTGTTCCTCTAGAGTCCCCTGTTGCATGTATTTTTTTAATGTGTTCGGTGGGGGGGTAACCACTGCCTCAGTCCTTCGCAGTCTTCTGGCAATTCCAGACAGTTTATTTAAATACTATGAATGAAGTCATATAGCAGTTTGAAAGATTTCCAGCATGATCTAGGTCCGAATGTGTGCAAACAACACAAGGTCCAAGCCCAAAACCTTGGATCGGTGTATCCTTCTGAAATCGTCTACTTTTATATGCATGGAGAATTAGGGGATCTTTGGGAAAGTTAGGGTTAAGGGTCTCAACTTGGAGCAAAATTCATGCACTTGAAGCCTAAAAGTCCAAGACAGGGACAAATCTACAATTTGGAACGCACCTCCTCCCCTTTGTTGCCAAAAATTGATGTTCTCTGTCTTGGTTCTGGAAACGGTAGCTCTATGGAAAGTTAAGGAAAAGTCATGGAAAACTAGAGGAAAATCGGATCTTTGTTGTTAGGAGAAAAACATTCATGGGAAAAGTCATTGAAATCAAGATTATGCAAGGATTATTTATGATGAGCTACTTTTGATATGATAAGGGAATGATAAAGTTACAGGCTATATCCTTTCCAGTCTATTGTTGTGACAGCGGCAGCCTTTTAGTTCTTAATACTAAACATTTTTCTTTGATATGCTTAAATGTCTTGGAGCTTGTCATAGTGTAGTCCTCAGCTCCTTGAAAGTCCTAGAAAGTCAAGGAATTTTATTTTCAGATGTCTGTGGGAACTCTGTCTTTGTCTTGGTTCTGGAAACGTCAGCATCTGACCTTGGCTTCATCGGGCATCTGGCTTCTATTTGTCAATGTCATTCCCAGACTCCAAAGAACTGTCATTGTCTGAGACCACTGAGCGTCAACTCAAAACTCCATTTCACATTTGAGGCAACTAATCCCTGTAAGAGCTTGAGGATTCTCCCCCCCCCCGACACTTTTCCTGATACCTGCATTTTTTTACGAGTTAAGCCCTCATGATTGTCTTCAGGAGCTCTTTGTGATCATTTTCGACACCAATTTTGTGAGAGTCAAATCTGCCATTCTCATGCAGCTACCATTATTTTACGACAGGTCAGCCCAAAGTGTATACTTTTCTACTGCCGTGCTCCATGCACGCAGGCTGGCATGTGTTTAGCCTTCAGCTCCAACTGACAAGCAACCAAACAGCATGTAAGATTCAGTTGAAGTTCCTCAACATCCTCATCAACTGTGAGATGGTCTCAAATTTATACCTGGGTCTTTCAGAGTTTTTTCAACACAAATTAACCTATGTGTACAGTTGAAAACTCTGAAAAGGGCCTAAAGAGCTTACAGTGTGTAGAATGCATTGTAACAAAACATCAGAAGTTACAATGAGATTTGGGTCTTCAGAAGTGCCTTTTTAGAACCAGCTTTATGATAAAAATTCCAGATTATATACATATAAATGTAGAGATACATGTACTTGTAACATGTGAAGTCATAAAGATAAAGTCAAATAGCAAACATATCTTTCATTTTGTTTTCTGGTATGTTGCTTTTCAAATGACAATCTGACGGCTTTTCGCTGAGTGTCAAGTAATTATTTGTTGTTCTTGAAGTTGATACACAGAACAGTCTTTGTGTTATGCCCAAAGGGCACTTGGACACATTGTACTTAATGACCCACTTATGAAATCTTTCAGAGAACGATTGATTGCTTCACAAGTACCTGTTTTTAAGTCCAGTGGCTCATAGCTCAAGTGCTTAGGATCACCAGCATACAGCTTGTATATGGCAGCATTCTTCATTGCCTAACAGCGTTGGTATTTTCCGAAGTGGCACGATGCCAATTCATTGAAGGACTTGTGGATAGTGCTATGTGGCTTAGTGATCCAGTGTCTGAAGGGGCTTCCAGAGCTACGGTTACTATGTCTGTTGTCAGCACATCCCCACATATTTCCAATGGAGCAGAGGCCCAGACGTACATGTACTGTAGCTCTAGACAACAGATTTGGATGTGGCCTGAGACTAGAAGGCACACCATTTAGGAAGAAGAAATTCTCGCTAGCAACATGGAACAACCTGTTCTATAGTCGTACGTGTCCGATAAGAAACTGATTGTTTTAAAAATATTTTTGTGCTTTTGTTTAGTCACAGCTCCCTCAGTCGTAGCAGGTAATAAGTCAAGAAGAAAATTAAGTTGCAGATGATAATAAAGATATTGTAGTAAACATGCGTCACCGTTACTGTATCCGCCAGTAGTGGCACTTCAGATGTTGGGCATCATCATTGTTATCCCTGGTCGCAGGTCCTGGAAACATTCCTAAAAACCCATCTCAGATCCCCGAAGAGTATACAGCTCCACACAGCACTACCTTACTAATCAACTACAACAATACTCGCTGTCCTTACAGGCACCCAGTGGTACTTCTGGGTGGAGAGAGAGAGACAAGTTTGGAGTAAAGTGACTTGGCCAAGGTCACTGGCTGTACCCTGTTTCTGGCTTTAAAATCCCCAACCCTATTATTGGGAATTATTAACCCCCCAAACCACTAGGCCACGCTTCTCAGCAATGCTGAGCCTTGTGTACACTCACAGGGTGTATGACCTATGTTCAAGCAAATATCCACGCACCTAAAGAGTCCTAGCTTAAGCATGGCAGCATCGCTGAAGTCGCACTGAAGTGTCCTTTACTCAAAGTGATCTTTGATATTTTTACCATAAAGGGGAGTAGCTACACCCAGGGTCCATGGCAACATCACACTTCTATACATTTGAGTGTAAGACAGCAAACACGTCACTTATTTTATTTCTAATACCTTGAGTCTACTCATCTGAAAGGTAAACGTCTGAAGATTCCGTCTGTCTGCAGACTAATGCATTAGTGCAAAATACAAATATTTGTCCGAATTTTCTGTTGATTCTCTCATGTCTGAATTTCGCCGCTTGATAGGTTTGAGGTGCTTTCATAATGTGTGAGCAAACTTGAAGTAGTCTACACAAACAGGAAGGACATGCAGAGTTTTATTTGCCTGATCTGGAAGCCAAATAGCCTAGGATTTCTGCCTGTATGCTGAATACCCCCTGTCTCCTTAAACATGCATGTGTCAGAGAGTTTGTCTTCTCAGGTAGCAAACATTTGAAGAGGGAGGCTGCATTTATTTAGCCGTGGGTGCGTGACAAACTCCAGCGACATACTAAAATTTCTGTAAGGACAGAACTCATCAAAGTCAGTGGAGTAGACATGAGTGACAGTGTTCAACATGTTCGTGTGATGGATCAAAAACAGAAAAACAACTGCTTTGATATTCACAGATAATCATCTGTCTCAAAAAGCCAGAAAAGCTTTTACAAATCCCCCAAACAAACTGATGGACAGATTTTCAGTGCAGAAGACTTACCAGTCTGCCGAAGCCGACAATTTTGTAGTGGTTAATTTCCTCAGTCATGACTATTATGTAATCTCTGAAACCCCAGAAAGCCAAAGAATGAAGGAAGTGGAGCCCCAAATATATCTAAATGATGTCCATTAATGGCAAACAACATCCAGTTAGGCCAGCATACCTCACTTGCATTCTGGTTTGCTCGTATTTGATATATTGGAGTGATCCAGCCAAATATGTGATCGAAGGATGTTGGAGGGTGTACACAAAACAGAACCAAATTTTCAGAGGTTGGGGCGAAATGGGCTTTTTTGGGGGGGGGATTTTGGAAATGTTTGTATGTAACCTTTTATGGTACATGTAGCTTAGGCTGAATTTGTTGTTTTTACAAGCTTTTGAAAGGAAGAGAAAGAAAATGGACAAAAAATTGCCTTCCTGGCATAGTTTTTCTGAAATATTTTCTTTCCCCGTTGTTCCCATCTCCCCTGGATCTGCCCTTAGGTCTTCAGTGTCCAGCATGCAGTAGGGGGCAGTGAATTTCAAAACAGTTTGCATTTTAAGTTCTGAATAGGCTAGAATGATGTTTGGGCAATATTGAAAACTACCATATTGAAAAAAAAATCCCCAAAGAACTTTGCCCAACCGAAAAATGGATTGAAATTTCTCCCCAAAAGTGCCGAGTTATGGCGAACCAAGTTATTTTTAAAGGTTTCATCTCTGGTTTCTTTTTTCCTTGAAGTTTTCTCTAGTTTTTCTCTTTTTTTAAAAAAATAAAGTAACCAAAATCAGTGCTCATAAGGCTCCCACGTCCTGTCTGGATGACTCAGAACTGCTCCTTCAATAATGTTTTTCCTAATTGTCCACTGAATGATGTCCGGCCTGCAGTATGACTGCCGGCCTGTAGTATGACCGCCGGCCTGTAGTATGACCGCCGGCCTGTAGTATGACCGCCGGCCTGCAGTATGACCGCCGGCCTGCAGTATGACCGCCGGCCTGCAGTATGACCATCAGAGAGGGTAAAGAGTATTGGTAGTTTATTGCCGTGTAATATGCATGTCTGCCTTTGCAGTGGTCTTCCTAGGAACATTTCAAGGTGATAGAGACCACCTGCCTGCCATCAAACAATGACATTAAGGCCATATCCTCCCAACAACCAGTAATTTGCTCTAGTTATATTTGAAAGTAAAAATTTGTAGATTGCCTTTGCAATATTTACTCCATGTTCTGACTTCGGGGTAACATGCTGCAAGTGATATTCAACTTGCTCTGCAACAATCACAGTGGTCTTCTATGACTGACCTTGATTTGGCAGACTTTGTCACCAACCTTATTTGGAGAGAGAGTTGCGTCTCTTTTTCTTTCAAAGTAAAAATAACAGAGTTTTTCCTTCCAATCAGAATTTTCCCTTGCTGGCTTGTGGTGATCAATTCTTGCCATCTTTAGACACAATGTTGAAATCAATGAGTGTTGCAGTAAGGTTGTAGGAGCTGCTCCTGCTCTGTTACTGAGTCCATACCAGTCACAAACTTGGGCTAGTCCTGGTAGAGGAGTTGTGTTTATTCGTTTTTGTTTTCACACAATGCTGGGGCTTAAATTCGATATTACCGCTCTCCGTCTCATTCCCTGGTGATGATGAAAAGCCTGTTTGATATGAAGTAGGTGGCATGCTCTCAGGTTCCTTTTGGGGTTGTTGTGTGTGAGCCATTTTTCATGCTTATATTTCCTCTCTTCATTTGTCTGTTTCTCTCCATGCAATTTTGGTAATTGTTGGAGGTGTCCCAAGTAACTTTTAAAGATCACAATATCCCTTTTATGAGAACAAAAGCTGAACTAATCTTTCCAGAACCTCATTTTTGTGACAATCTTAGTTTAAATGGACAAAATCGCATTCTGTTTTATAGCTATCTCTGTGATAAATTGTTGTACAGTTATCTCTGCAATCTGGAAGATGGAGAGCATTACATTTACATGTGTAGATATCCAGAAAATTTTAAAGACTTGGCTCCTATTCCTTGAATCTCCTAATTTTGGATGTGACACCATCAGACTTAGGGTTGCATTTTACTCCCTGTGGACCCTGTTTGTAATAATTTCTAATGCTCTTTGCAACTGGATCTGAATTAGATGTTTCCATAGAAGCATACTGCCTAATCAGGATCTCTTCAGTTGCCACTTGAAAATAAATCTCAAATATCACAATGTTTATATGTCGGGAACATTTCACTTCAGAGCTCTTCACTAGAGCTCAGGTTTTGTTCACTTAAACTCAGTAATCTTGTCTACAAAAAGTAACGAGTTTTTAGCAGATCAGTTCTCTTCGCACATGAAGCCATCACAAGCAGTACAACCTACAATAATAATTACTCTGTAATCTAGTTAGTTTATAAAGAGCACATGTGTAGATTGACCGATTTGATCTTGTGTAGCCTTGAATGCACTGCTAAAGGCCATACGTGCCCAGGCTACTGACCACAAAACATCTTTGGTATAAGATCAACCTTAGCAGGACTCTTTGGGCTTATTTATTCAAAGGAGGTACTAGTAAAGTACTTGTCCTTATACTTCAAACAGAACACATGGACTCTACATGTACAGAAGTACTCAAACACCACATTTATATATTTGACCCAGCTCTTTGGAAATCAGGCCTGGAGATTACAACATAAGCAAATTCTGTACTTCAGTTCACAAATACCAGATAAAATTGCTTATATTCCAAAAAATCAGTTGGACGCTATATATTACACAAGATTTTGGCTGGTAACCTGTGAACTGCTTAGGAAATTATTTTTTTTGCTCAGTAATTTCTCTAGCTTTCAATTCCACAAAATTAGACCCTCTTATACATGTAGTTCAGCAAACCTTTGTTGTGGCTAAGCAGATTTTGTGTCCTTGTTGTCATTTTAGCTGCTGATGAGGCAAGCCTACTTTGCCACTACCTCCTACATCGACTACCAAGTAGGCAGAGTCCTGTCCACGTTAGAAGAGGAGGGTCTGGCAGATAATACCATCATTGCTTTGCTTGGAGACCATGGTGCGTAAGTTATAGAAATCTTATGCTTATCCCTCCCCAACAAGTCTCCAACTGTTCTCCAACTGTTCTCCAACAGTCTGCCATGTATTTGGAATTCTGCTATGTATTTGGAATTCAGCTATAAACTAAAATGGATTATGTGTTTCTAACTTAATTTGTACAGTTTAAATGAGAACTGAATCTGAGAAATAAGGCAATGTTTCATGTTGTTGATGGTTTTTTTTTTTTACCGTAGTTGAAGTTTAATTGTCGTTTTCCTTCACATTCCTCCAATGGCACTTTCTTTGTATATGTATTTAAACCTTCAAAGGACATCAGGCTCCTTGAATAGTAAAAGTGGCTAGGCTGTTCCTTTGTTCATCCTACAAAATCCTCAAACACCTCCTGCTTTGTTTGAGAGGTTCTTTTGAGTGTATTTACAATTTTTCAAGATGTTTCACCCATATGAGACCTCTTAAGTGTAGTAAAAATGGGTGTAATGAAATGTTTACAGAATGACAACAAAATCTCTCATCCAAGTCCGGAAATATGAAATGAAAACCCTAATTTTATTTTCTCTTTTTCACATGTGTAGTTATACATGTAGTTGATTGGTTCTGGGCATTTGAATTTTAGGGGTCGAGTAGGCTGAACCCTGACCTTTCCAGGACCTTCGAAATCCATAACTGTTTTGGTATTGATTATTGGAGCAACCCGGTTCATGGTAATGATTGTTAGAACAGTTGGTGTCATAGAATTGAATGTTGTGTTATCAGCGTCATAGTATTGATTGTTGAGTCAATCGATGTCATAGCATTGATGGTTTGATCAATCAGTACAATAGAATTTATTGTTAAATTGCTGTTTTTGTACTGACTGTTGGATCAGTCAGTGTAATATTATTGATTGTTGGATCAATCAGCGTAGTGTTGAATTTTGATCAATCGGTGTTATGCATGTATTATTGATTCTCTGATTAATCAGCATCATGTCATCGTAGATATTTATTGTAGTCGTCAACCATCTTGCTTTGCAGGATGGCAGTTGGGGGAGCACGAGGAATGGTCTAAATATAGCAACTTTGCCTCAGCAACTCGGGTCCCACTCATGTTCCACGTGCCAGGGGTCACTGACGTGACTGGGTCGTTACACCATCGCAAGTTTCCCCTTGTCAGTGCCTTCACCACGGCCCAGTCCCACCACCGCAGTAACCAGGCAAGAGCTGACGCGACTCCCAACTACTTGACAGGTGAGTCCACCCCTCGCCGACACTCCCCAGGGTTTGTCAGTGACGCCCTGGTGGAGCTAGTCGACGTTTTCCCAACATTGGCTGAGCTGGCCGGGTTACTGGTCCCCCCTCTCTGCCCTGCTTCCCCCACAAATGTCACCTTTTGTACAGAGGGTGTCAGTGCAGTGCCTTTAATCCACCAAGCCATTGGCCGTCCCAGCGAGCCAAAAATCAAGCACTGGAAGAGTGCCGCTTTCAGCCAGTACCCACGCCCGACGTTCTTTCCTTCCCACAAGACCAACACGCCTTCGCTGGCCCGCATCAAGATCATGGGCTACTCCATGCGGACGAAGCAGCACCGCTACGCCGAGTGGCTGCCCTTCAACAATACCAACTATCGAGTGGACTGGTCAGGCCTGCTGGCCAGGGAGCTCTACCGCTACGGGTCAGACCCCGAGGAGAATGTCAATGTGGCTGAGAGCCCCGACAACATCCAGCTTGTCAAATCACTGTCCCACCAGCTCCGGCTGGGCTGGAGGCATGCCCTGCCAGTCCTTCAGGACAGCGAGCCGACCACGACAGCGCAAACCAGCTCAGCCAGCTGGCTGACCAGTAACAGTGCATCTTCAATCAGCGGCAATGCTTTCGCCAGGGCAGTGGCTGTATTCCAAGTGGTCAAGATGGCTTGTCATTTCTTCTATCAAAGTCCAGTGTTGCAAGTTTAATACAGTATGGCATATTCCTAGCAACTGAAATGTTACCGTACTATAAACTGTAAGCTACTTTTTTACCCTTCTAGTGTTCCACAATGCAATTCAGTATCTGTTGTCGTATGTTGGTGGTAATTCTAGATGAGTGTTGCGATAACAAATTATGTTAGTCTGACGAGCTCAGTGTTGCCTGAATTATTTAACCTTTCATCGGATCACATAACCTACAGGAGATGGGTCGTATATTTAGGGAAAAGACTGAGTAGAGTACTTCATTTTGGATTAGCTAAAGAAGCAGGGTTTTGTTCTGATATCAGTGTTTTAGAGAGAGGAGATGATCTCAGACACAAAATACAATAATGCCAACCAAGTTGAAGGCATAGAGGAGATTTTAATTTTTCTTTTCTTTCAAAATTTAATTGGAGATAATCGACTAAAAAAAGATTTTTTTATAATGCAAGTGGTCTAACAGACATGCTAGCGACACAAGAGAAGGGCTTAATGGCTTCTCTGCAGTGCCAGTTTAAAATTGAAGTAATGGCTGTAAAGTGCAATCCAAGAAAAATGACCCGGGCTGGATAGTGCAGCCACCCATCATGATATGAATCTTAATGTTCCTTGGGAATAATGTTGTCAGTTTGGCCGCGACAGCAAGCCAGGTAGGTGCACTTTGTTTTCAAGGCAATGAGATCCTAAGAAACATATAAATGTGGTATGTTTTCATACATGTACATGTATATACAGTGATTCTAAGGGACAAAGTCCATTTTTTTTGGGGGGGGGTTGTTTTTTTTATTGAACGATCATTTAATGTTTAGGTATGCAATTTAGCCTCGTATTTTTGACAGGCCTACCACTCAATATTTATACTGGCCTTACTATCAGAGTACCTTGTTTCTATGCATGTACACAATTGGAATGCAAACCCTGATGGTGTCCCTGAATGCAATAGCACTTGTAGCTTCCGTCCAGTACGTACTGACTTGAAATCGAGGCCAGAAGTATTATCATTATATTTCTGGTAATGCCACCAAGGATTCCTCAAAAGTGCCCTAGGCACTGTAGCTCGCATGCCTGAAGAAACCTGTAGAGAGGAGACAGTGAGAAGCAGTTACAGTTTCAGAGGTTGGAGGAAAACCCCAGAGGAATATTCTGGGTAAAACCCACGGAATCAGTAGAGACTGAAAACCCAATCCACATGTGTCCAGCCACTCTATCATAAGAGGGGATCCCATCCACCTGTTAGTTTTGCCTTAACCACCCTGTGCCCACAGTGCTACCGTCTCCTTGCCCACTTTCCCAGAAATGAATGATGGCAGTGCAATAACGAAGAATTAATGAATGAGTGTCCTGTTCCTTACGGCTCACATGGTAATGTGTGATGTGAGATGCTCGTTTCTTTGTAAAAAAAAAAATCGTTTACTCCAGCAGTGGCCTATCACACCAATATTGACTGCTGTGAATGGTATAAGTAAACTTAGTCTCCCTAGGTGATCCACTGTGAAGCAACGCTGAGGGAATCACAACGCTTAGAAGGTCACTGAGGAAGGCTAGTTTTTCTGTACCATCAGAGAAAGAAGTCATATTAAAAAAAATTCCTTACAAACTTCACCTGTGGGTTCTGCACACTCATGCATTTTTCAACTTCTCTTCATGCATACATGTATGCATGTAGATGTGGAGTTCTTGTTGCTAATGAAAGTATTTTGGTTGGGAATGGTTGCCATGCAAAGTAGTTTTTCAGAAGTCCTTTTTCGAGTGCAGCAACACACTCTCAGCCCAATCAAAAGACAGAATCTGTTGATGAAGTAAAGACTCTCCGTGACTGTAACCTCAGGCAATGAACTTGCATAATATTATGACCGTGGTAGAGCATGTGGTTCATTTCCACAGAGAAGCCATGGGTTTGTGCACATTCTGCGGAAAAAGTAATGTGCATACACTGCATCATGCACCTGAACAAATGCAAAGTCTTGTGCTGCAGTGTTGTGGACCAAATTTGCGTTACAGGATAATTATTGCAAAGACCTAAAATGTTGTGGGAACACAACCAAAGTCCCCATACTCCAGCCCCAATGTCCTAACAAATGACAACTTCCCCACAATGTGTTGCCAGCCTGTGCCAGCTTGGCCAAGTAATAGGGAGAATTTAAAGAGACATCCTTTAATGCCAGTCAATAATAATGTGAAAGCAAAGCGATTTGACATCATGAAACATTTGCCGCGAATTTCGCTTGAGATAAAATGTGTGCAACTTTTGGGAGTTTCCTATGTAAATATTTCATTTGATTTCTCAAATTTACTTTCACACCAAGTAAGAACCAGCCGTAGTGGATGCCTAGTGATGCAACAGCCATTTAAGTTCGCAATTGTTATTTTGTCAAGATCTGTACCGAGTGTTTTGGCCAAATGCGGTTAGTTCTGGAGCCGGCAGCTGGGCCGAAATTGACTCTTGGCAGAATTAGTGTTAGTTTAGCATATTGCATTGTTTGTGAAGTAAGTTAAACTAACATTCCGCAGCCTGTGTATGCTCTCATGTTTGCCAAATTCAGACTTGGAATCTGATCTCTCTTACTAGTCAGTTTGGTGTTCCAACAGCACATGTTGTAATTCAGTTGGGATAATCAATCGCATGTGAGAGATCTACATGTACCCTATCGGTTTGGCCATATGCCAGCTCGCATCCACTGAACGTATTGGAGCTGGCATGACATGAGGTGGTTTTTATCCCAGACAACCTCACCACATTGAAATACTGGGCTGGCATGTTATCACAATATTTGCAAGTCAACATGTGCCTTCCAACCTACAATAAAATAAGTCATAATCATTGTGTGTGCATTGATACATGCAGAGTAGCAGACTCTGAATTAGCTGCTTTCAAAAATGCAATCATGTTTTATAAGTTATATACTTTTTTTCCCATTTTATTGTAAATTGATGTATCAACAAAATCCAACTATTGCGTGCTTATGGGGCTGCGCGGGCATCTGGGACTCTTGCAAAGTGGCGGGTAGTAACCGATGAAAACAGTGACCATTGCAACGTATGCGTGCACCAGCCAGTCAGAGGAGTGGATTAGAAAATCGTTCCTTTGATCAGTATGTACTTGCGCGTTCATTGCAGTTGTTTTCATCACCGCGATGTGGTTGCCACCCACCATTCTGCGAAACTCCCTGATGACTGCACCGCCCCATTGCAACATTGTACATAGGAAGGTGGTTCATGGCATGTGAGACTAACAGATGCATTTAATGTATGTGTATACTCTCCAACTAATCAATCATCGCTGTGTGGCTACTTGAGCTTGATTCACTGAAATTTGTCCTCTGGAGAGAGCAAGCAAAGATCAGTGTCTTAAAGTAGTTTCTCATGGGTGATTCATAATGCAGTGCGCCACCAAGAGGTTGTCATGGAAAGGTTTTTTTGTAATGCATTATGGGATAAATGGTCAACAAAGTCTCATTCGCTAACTGCACTGCGTGCGGGAAACTTCAATTTTTCCAAATATTTGTTTACCTTGGTTGACAATTTGAAATCACTTATTGCAAAATGGGTGTTACAGTGGACTAGAGAGTAGTCAAAATAATACTTTTGTGTTGTGCAAGAAACAACTCAATCGATCAAATACATGTATCCTTAAATTACGTACCAAAGTGCGTGCAATCACGGCAGCACGTCGACTGTCAACTTGAAAAGTGGCCTTTCTGCGGCAGACTCTTAGTGGCACACTGTATTGCAAATCGTCTGTATTGTGCGTAAGTTTTTTTTGTCTTCAATGAAGAACCTGTCTCATTTCTCTTGTTGCTTCTTAAAATGTTAGGCACAGTGAAAACAAGTTTTTATCTTTGTTTTGTTTTGTTTGATGATGTAATTTTTCAGGCCATAGTGATTGGATTCTCTTGACTGATTTGCATATACTTTGGGGGGGTCGCCCATTTGACAGGTTGTAAGAAATAAAAGGACAAAATACTTAGAAAAGTTTACCCCCCAAAGGGAGCAACAAATATATAAAACAAGAAGTTGGCGGATAGGAGTGGAAGAAGTAGCAGATGTGAGAAGCTAGTTGATTTTGCTTACATGGCCAAATCTATCTGGTTTTGTTTGTAGCTGTTTGTTGATTTGTTTGTCAGTTTGTTTGTGTTTTGTTTGTTTGTTCTATGACTTTCCTTAGGCTGTACTTGTGCTTATAAGTCATCAAGCTAATTGATGTTGCTGTTGGTCACATTTTTTTGTCATGTATAGCGTGGTGGTCATACTATTTTAGGGGTCATGAGTTTTACAAATTCCACTCATGCTTTGCAATAACAACATGCACGTTATCTGATGTGAGTGGGGGAGACATGGAGACTTTGACCTGATCAGACACTGACACAATTAGGCTGTGGTAACTGAACAGTTGCGAAAACGTTCAAAATGTCTGTCTTTAGATGTGACACATGTAGGAATTGGCATCTGATCAGAGCTGCAAGTCACCAACAGAAATGCACCTATGAATAAGTACCAATCCACTGACAATATTGTATCAATATTTTCCACAATAATTCATCACAATATTTGTCTTTTTCCAGGCAAGTGGTGGGTAGTATCCCTCTGCAAATATTTATTCGATATGGTGCTCCCTCCAACAAAAAAGTAAACATCACATCCCTCCAAGATTTTTGACCATAATATCAAACTTTGCTCCTTGTTAATAAGTAATTTGATGCCATTTTGGTCACTTCTGAAATAACCTTGGATGCCCTTTGACTTTTCCGTACTGGATGGATTCATGCTTGACCACTTACAGCATCATAATAAAAGGTGTCTCACGAGTGTCAGATGTGTGTGAGTGTAACAATAATTTTCTAGTATCTAACTAACATTCGATAATTCATGAGTTGTGCTTTTGTGTATTTTTCAAGTCACACTTTCCAGCCAAATATTTTTAAACTTACGATTGAAGTGGTATTTGTTTTGCACATTTACAAGTTATCTCTCATTTTTTGTACATGTTCATGGTAAGCTTTCATTTTGCTTTTTGCTGACAGTTTATTCCTAAGTTTGTCTTACTGTTCAAATATTTGGATTCATTCCCTCGACATTTTGTTGTTTATTTGAAAAGTCATTGTAAACAAAGCAGTTTATTTTTGATACTAAATATTACTTAGCCATTTTATTTGATAATTAGCAACCTTTTTATTTTTGATGATTTTTTTTCATAGAGGTAAGGTGTGTGATCTGCATGAACCGTTAACATGCAGAACCTTTCAAGTGTGTTAAATCATTGACGGATGAATTCTGGGTTTTTTTTAAGAGAGAAATTGTATATTCTGATTGAAACTTCTGCGAAGAATTTTCAAAGCATTCATAGCCAAATAAGCACAAAACCGATTGTGTGATGAATTTAGATATCCAACTATTGGCATTACTATAAAGCAGAATTCCCCAAAACTGTGATGCCAAATATAGTAAAATGTTTACCTTACAAGTTCAGTGGAAAGAGTTGTGTTCCTTTATATTTGCATTATTGAGAATTACGTTTTTCTTATAGTTGAAAAAAAGAGAAAAAAAGGTTGGAGCTGGATTCAAACGTGACCTTTCAAAAACACACATTTCACTGAGTGAGCTAGCTACTGTTCCGATTTCCTTTCAGTAATCACCGTCCTCGCTTTCTTTTTATCTTGCTCACCATTTTTTTATCATTTTATTCTGGGGTATAATTTGTTCACGAACATTAGCAAATCTGAACCTTAAATTGCTGGTTGTCTGTTTATGCACCAGTCCAAGAGCTGGTGTCGCACATTTGTTCGTTTTGGTTTCAGATAGTTACATTAGGGTTCGCTGTTGGCTCGCCCTTGTGTGGTGTGATTGTCCTTAGTTCAAGCTCTGGTCTCATTGCTTGCGTGCGTAGCGCTTATTGCAGTTCAACATGTATTTGAACAGCGTCAGGTGAAATAACGATGGTTAATTGAAGTTGTTTGCTTGAAATGGAATGAAAAGTACTGTTTGCATGTTAGCTTGTGTATGATTGATGAAAGTTGTTATTGAAGTAATGACCACACCGATAAATTAGAGTACCTTTTTTGACAGGGTTAATGTTATTGCTC